GCTAGCTTTCTGAGAAGCAGGGTGGGAGGTGAGAGAGGGTTTGGTTTTCCTGGGAAGCGGGTATGCAGGAAACGTGTCATTGCTCTGGGCCCTGTGTCCTGCCCTCAGCCCGCAGTCCCGGTCCTCCTGGAAGCCAGCAGGTGTTGCTGAGTCCAGTCCTGCCAGTCCCACGGGATTTTCCTAGACACTCCTTGTGTGCTGTGACATGAAGCCACTTGCGACGAGCTCCAGAATCATTCCACATGCCAGGGCCCTGGTGCAGAGAGTGACTGTAACTGGTGTCCACAGAAGAGGGGCGATCAGCGAGGCCCGGGGGTCTTGGTGTTCTTATGCTTTAAGTACCCAGCAGACCAGCCCTGTTGAGATCGTCGCCTGAGCACTTTCCAAGTCTGCAGAAAGATATTACTGTGTAGCAAATACTTGGAAGCTGATACACTGAAAAAGAAATGTAATTGTAAGGTTACCTGGAGTCCTTCTTTCTGTGGGTGTGTCCTTGTGCATGTTTGTGAGTGTACATGCAGCACTTCACCCAGGGAGGAAAAGGAAGTGACTTGTCTTTGTGTTATTACTGGTGAAACTTGTGCAAATTTAAGGTAAATTCTATTTAGAAAATTATGATACACTTTCTGTTTGAGTGCAGGAGGGATCACACTGGAGTGTAAGTCTCAGGCTCTGTGCAGATCAGGAAGTGCTTGGGCAGAGCGTGGTGTCTGCAGGAAGAGGGGACGCCTCCCCGGTCTCGGAGCTGACGGCTTTGGGAGCAGTCCCAGATGTCCGTGGCCCTCCTGGTCTCCTCATGCAGGAGGCAGAGCCATGCCTCCGTGTAACACACGTCCTTGTCTCCCGGCTGATGCTGGCTTGGTGGCTTCTCTCTCTCTCTTCTGGCCAGTGTTCTGCTTTTCCAGCCACAGATGTTCCTGCACACTCAGTAGTACTGACCCTGTGTGGCTGCCTGAACCTGCGGCAGTGAGGTCATGGGAGCTGGGGGCCTCAAAGCGTGGTATGCCCCCAGCCCCGGCCCCGGGAGCGGCTCCCGCCCTCCCTGTCCTCTCCCTGGAACGCGTGTCCTAGAGTCCCGTGGGTGTCGCAGTGGCGTGAAAGCTCCAGAAACAGCTCTTTAGGGAGCTGTACATCCAGGCTGATCCTCTCCGTAAGATACCACCCATCCTTTTGGGTTGAGATACATAAGAGGCAGTGGCTTTTGAGCAATCTACTTTTTTTTTTTGACAGAGTTAGACAGTGAGAGAGAGAGAGAGAGACAAAGAGAAAGGTCTTCCTTCCATTGGTTCACCCCCCAAATGGCTGCCATGGCCTGCACGCTGCGCTGATCCGAAGCCAGGAGCCAGGTGCTTCCTCCTGGTCTCCCATGAGGGTGCAGGGCCCAAGCACTTGAGCCATCCTCCACTGCCTTCCCAGGCCACAGCAGAGAGCTGGACTGAAAGAGGAGCAACTGGGACAGTCCGGTGCCCCAACCGGGACTAGAACCCGGGGTGCCGGCCCGCAGGCAGAGGATTAGCCAAGTGAGCCACGGCGCTGGCGAGCAATGTCCTTTTGATGTCTTCTGCATTGTCCCAGATTACACGGAGGGGTTCTGATCGGGTGGGGCCGTGTGTGAGCTCACCTGCTGCAGAGGCTGCAGTTCAGAGGACCTGACCTTACCTGAGGGCCTGTCTTGGTGTCTGTGCACCCCTCTGTCTGTCCTTTCGCGTCCACGAGCTTCCCTTTCCCAGTCCTGTCCTGGAAGACACATACACAGCCGGCCCTCCATAGCCGCAGGTTGCTTGGACTCACCCAGCTGCGCTTGGAAGCACAGGAGAACACCGTATGTGTGCTGAACATGTAGGGGTTGTTTATTCTTGTCATCATTCCCTAAACAATACAGTGTCACAGCGGTTTCCATAGCTTTCGGGTTGTAATAATCTACACATGATTTAGCATGTGCATGGGGCTGTGTTAAGGGCAGACACCACACCATTTTGTGTAAGGAGGGACCCGAGCATCCATGGGTCTTTGTATCCAGGGGGAGTGCTGGGCGTGATGGTGGAAGCAGGCCCCTTTGGATCCTGCAGGATGATGTGCTAGCAGTAAGAAGTGCAGCCGTGTCTAGAACTGACCTACCGTGTGCACCTGCAGTGTCCCTCTACCCAACCCGCAGGGCTGACAGCTTCCGGCAGGTGACATGCCAGGGCTAACCCAGGGTTAGTTGTGTATCTGATACATGGCAGAGCTGGAACTCACAGCATGAGCCAGTGGGGGCGGGGCTGGCCAGCTTACACCAACACCCTGCAGAATACCAGTGGAGAAGCCTGAGATGCCCTCCCAAGGCCCTGGGAGCGGGTTCTGAGCCAGCCCAGCGGCAGGCGTCCACTGTAGCTTTACTTTAGAGATTTCTCTCCGAGTCCATGGTGAGTTCCTTTTCAGGGTCCAGTAGTTGGGATTCTCATTCCGCCAGCTTTCCCCCCTGGCCCGGTGCGAGTATTAACTCCCTCGCGGTGCTGAGTCCCTACTCCTCCCTCGGGCCCTGGCCTCTTTCCCAGCTCCTTGGGGTCCGCCCCAACTCTCAGGTGTGTGCGGTGGTGCGGGTTACCCGTGGTCATGGGCTCTCGGCCCTGCCCCTGCTTCCATGGGTCCCTGTGTGCAGAGGCTGTCACAGCCCCCGCTGTGTGTTCTCAGCCACTCCTGCGTCCTCACTGCAGCTGCCCCGGCAGCACAGCCTTTCAGGTGCCTGCTGGACGCTTTTCCAAGCCGGGCTCTCATCGTAGCTTTTCTGCACTCTGTCGAGATGTCTCTCTCTCGTCCCATTTCTGCTGGGATGCACAGGAGCCATTCAGGGCTGCTCTTCCTGTCTGCTCTGGCTTCTCTCTGAGCATCGTGCTCTGGGTCACGTTTCTGACTAAAGTGAGACTGTGTGCATTCCCAGCCACGTTCGAGGCACCTGTGTCTTGGATTGCTCGTCAGGCTGCAGCTCCGGCTCTGAGATGTTCCAGTCTTTCTTCCTCCTGCTTGTCCTTGCCCTCCTCTTGCCCTACCCCCTGCAGGAGTCTGACCTGAAGCCGCCTCTGTCTCTCCTGGGCTTGCTGGGGAGTGGTGTGCTTGAGGGAGCTCCTCTACCAGGGCTGGCCAGGTGTCATGGATTCCTGATTCCTTGCCAGTGCCTTTGGATTTTTGGCCAGGGCCCTTCCGGGAAAGTGACTGAGCCAGGGAGAGACTGGACATGGCTGCCAGTTGATTTTCATGTTCTTCTCCAACCTGAGTGCCTTTCTCTGCTGGGGTTGAGCTGAGTGCTTAGCACGAGCCATAGCCAGCTCAGGACCACATTGTCTGAGCCTGTGCAGGCAGCCAGTCTGGGGGCCCACGCCTTAGCCCCAGCCCTGCCAACGGCAACATAACCACTTCTATTTCCTTGACTGGCAGCCATTGCCTGGAGTGAATCCTGGGGGTGGGATTTGTCTTCAGTGGTCCATATGCAATAAGCAGGATGCACTGCATAGAAAGGAGACGAACCCAATACAATCAAAAGGTGAAATCTCCCACCCCACAGCCGCTCAGATGCAGCTGGCTGCCAAGGGTGAGCAGTGCAGAGGCTGTGCGTGCTTATCCTCCAGCTGGTCGTGTTGCTCTGAGAAGTTCAAACCCCCACCCTCTACCCTGGATCTTATTAAAAGCCAGGCCATGTTGGCAGCTGTGCCTGCTAGCTTCTCTTCTCTGAGTGTGGACAGAATGCCATTGCCCTTCCAGGGAGGGAGGAAAACCTTCCCAGGGCAGTTGGAGTGATGACTTCATCCTCAGCTACAGCCAGCTCAGGAATTTTTAAAAAAATATTTTTATTTATTTATTTGAGAGACAGAGTTACAGAGGGAGAGGCTCAGAGAGAGGTCTTCCATCTGCTGGTTCACTCCCTAGATGGCGCTACGTCTGGAGTTGAGCCTGTCCGAAGCCAGGAGCTTCTTCCAGGTCTCCCACGTGGGTTCAGGGGTCCAAGGACTTGAGCCATCCTCCACTGATTTCCCAGGTCATAGCAGAGAGCTAGATTGGAAGTGGAGCAGCTGGGACTGGAACTGGTGCCCATATGGGATTCTGGCACTGCAGGTGGAGGCTTAACCCACTATGCCCCAGTGCCAACTCCTGTATGTGGAATTGAGATAAACACATTTGTACCCAGCAGCCTTGTCTGCCAGGCTATTGGAAGGTGCCTTGGTGCTTAAGTACCCTCAACAAAAGCCGGAGCCTCAGCAAGGATTGTTGGCTTTTATGACTGACTTTAACAAAGGCTGAATTTTCCAGTCTGACAAGGACTGGAGAGATTTCATGATGGACACCATGGGTGGGGGCTGTTCTTACTCCACAGGCAACACTGCTGGGGATGTGGCACCGAGAGAAACAGGCTCACGAGGAACGTGCAGAGGGGGCTGGTAACCCGGGCCTCATCTGGGCTTGGTCGGAGGAGAAAGGCCAGGAGATCCCATGCTGCGGGGACAGGAGGTTCCAGGCCCTTCCTTCTGGCTGTCCCCCGCCTCACTTCCCAGAGTCAGATTGTGCTGATGGTGGTACTTAGGGGAAGGTGGTGTTGAGCTGCACAAGCGGGAGCTGCACTGACCGTGTGGGGGACCCGTGGTGGTGTGCACCACCACGTGGAGGTGTGAGGCTGTGAGCGCTCCTCTTGGCTCTGGTCCGGGGTTCCTCTCTGATCTCTGTTGGCAAGTGGATCCCCACATGTGTCAAACAGAGGTGACAGGCCTCATTGTGTGGCTTGAGGAAGTAGAGGGAGGGTAGGAATTAGTAAAGCAAGTGTAACAAAAAACACTAACTCGCTGAGTAGGTCAGTGCATCGTGGTATAAACAAGTATTACTGTGTTGAATTTTTGTTCCACCGTGCTTTGAAATAGCCTCAGGGACAAATCTGCTTGCTGCTGCGTTCACAGGAGGACTCAAAAGGGCAGTTAGAGGAGAACCAGACTCATTTCAGTAATTCCTGTTTTTCCCCCCCTTTTCTTCATTAGATTTGTCCACAGCAAAGCGGAAGTTTGCAGATTCCTTAAATGAATTCAAGTTTCAGTGCATAGGAGACGCGGAAACAGATGACGAGATGTGTATAGGTAAGTCATACATGCGCGGGCAAAAGGCATATTCACCGTGCGTCACGACTTCCCTTGCCCCAGGAGAGGAATGGTCTGAGCCCGGGAAAGAAGGCCGTGCGGTGGTCCTGGCGCTGCAGAGAAATGGAAGCCCGGGGGCCTGGAGTCGCCCTGGGCTTCTTGTCCGGTTCTGGGACTTCCTCACCCACTCTCCAGTGCGCAGGAGACAGCTAGAGGTTTCCAGTGGGCTCTCCTCTCTCCTGGCTGGGTTTGTGACCCCTCCTCCTGCCAGCTGCAGTGCTGTGAACTGAGAGCAAAAGGAGAGCACCAGCAGGTGATGGGAAAATGGGGTCAGAGGTTGCAAAATGATATCTCGAGGCCTGAGAGCAGAATACAGCCATATTTTGTTTGGCTGTCATTTAAAAAATTGAGTTACCGTATAAACTGAGCTCATGTAAAATTCCAGTTTTCCAGCTTCCTTGAAAAGTAGAATCTGATCTACTGGCCTCATGTTCTGGCCCGGCAGTGGTCGGCTGGGGCTGCGTAGCTGCTGCTGCTGCCTTCACAGAGGGAGAGGAGCTCAGTGAGCAGCTCACCATGGTCCCCACCACGCCCTCGTGCACACACACAGGCTTTCTGTTTGTTTATTTATTTATTTTTTTAATTTGAGAGGCAGAGAGAACTTACATTCCCTCCCCAGATGTCTGCGACAGTTAGGGATACACCAGGCCAAAGCAGGGAGCCAGGGACTCAAATCCAGGTCTCCCACGTGGGTGGCAAGAACCCGGTTACCTGAGCCATGAACTCCTGGCTCCCAGAGATCACTTTAGAAGGAAGGAGGAGTCGGGAGCGGAGCTGGGACTCCCACACAGGAGTGCGTGTGTCAGCTTGTGGCTTAACTGCTGCACCAAGCATCCCCACCCCCGCTGCTCCCTTGCACCAAGCATCCCCACCCATACCACTCCCTTGTGCTTCTTGCCAAGAGGCTGAGGTACTGTGCTCCCAGTACCACACAGTGCTGCTCCCCTCTTCCCCATCCCTGCCTTCGGCCCTGAGCTTGGAGTGTTGGCAGTGTCAGGACACAGTCACCATCAGGAGGGACTCGTCATTTCACCTTAATCTTTGTACGCTGAGCATCTTGCTCGACTCCACGGAGTGATCAGGATTGGAAGAAGTCGTGTTGGGTGAACTCATCGGATGTGTAGGTTGTGACCCAGGGTCCCAGGAGCTAGGGCGGCACAAAGGCAGCTGGGAGGCAGCTGGGAGCAGTGAAAGTGCGTTCTCACTGTGACTCGCGGGTGGGCGTTGCCTTTCCCCTCCTTGCACAAGTGTCCCTGGTATCCTTGGGGCCACTGCACTCCCTGCCTCTCGCTTTTGTGAGTGCCCCAGGTAAGAGCAGTCCGCGCCTGAGAGCCACGCTGCAAGGTGCGTTCTGGTCATGAGTGGCTTGGGGACCCAGAGTGGAGAAACCCAAGGAGAAGCCAGAGGCGGCGGTTCAGTGCCAGCAACACTGTTTGTTTGGTTCTGGTGCCAAAGCAAAGGTTGGGTTCTGACGCAACCCCATGACAAAGGTTGAGGACGTTAACTCCTGGACAGGAAATCCTTCAGTGGAGCTCCGCTTGTTCCAGCTTGGGGCCTGGGAGCCTGCCAGCATCTCCCCCGTCCCCAGCTCTCTGAGGAGCAGGCAGGTCTTGTCCTGGAAGAAACTCCTCCCCAGCTCGAGTGTGAGGTGGACGTAACCTGCACTTCTGGGCCATCCTACCCTTAGCAGTTCACGATGCAAATACAGGGAGAGTCTCGGAAGCAGTTGGCTTCAGGCCTCTGTGTGCACCACGGGGCTGCAACCCATAACAGAACAGTGAGGCTGGAAGGGCTTCGCACACCCATGACCTCCTCTGTCTCATGGCCCCTTTCTCTCTCCCAGCAAGGTCTTTGCAGGAGTTTGCCACTGTCCTCAGGAACCTGGAAGATGAGCGGATACGGATGGTGAGTAAGGCCGCGCTGCTCTCCAGACGGCTTGTTCACAACGAGCAAGCACGGGATTGGTTGCTGGAAGAATTGGGCGTGAGTCCCGACGCTGCCTTGTGGGTGCTTTGAGCTCTTCAGCAAGTCTCAGCCTTGCAGGGTTTGAAGGGGTGTGTGAGCGTTCAAGGGTCGCCTGGTGGATGGCTTCACACAGCACTGCCGTCCTCCTGCAGAGTCAGTGTGAGGGCCCTGCACAGGTGCACAACCTCGGGGAGCCTCAGGTGCTCTCCCTGCTGCCTCGTCCCCACACGGCGTTACACCAGCCTCACAGGGCAGGGGTCCCCTGCTCGCTGTCAGTCCCGAGCCACCTGCCACGGCACCTGCCACGGAGTGGGCAGCCAGTACATGAGTACTTAGTAAGCGAAGGTAACTGGAAGAAGCTCTTGAGAGAACGGCCTTGTGCAAATTCAGGGATCACACGCCAAGCTCCAGGTTCTCAAGCGATACCCTTGGTACTAGGATTTATCCTGACGTGGTTCAGTAGGAACCGGGGAGGGATTTCCCAGCTGCAGGAATGGATGCCTTCACGTGTAGGGCCTGGGGAAGGTTCCAGAATCTGGGCGTTTTTCTCCTCTTCTCGCACTAATGGCTGATGCTGTGAGCTTTATGTTTACCAAGACGTTGTAGAGCTGTTTCCTGCCTTTTCCATTTTCACCCTCGTAAGGACCCTGAACTCATCTCTAGATGACCCCCATTTTTCAGATGAAGATCCTGGGGTTTGCAGAGGGTGAGTAACTTGTCAGGATCACACAGTTAATAAGTGATAGAATCGGATCCAAGGCCAAGCCTCCGTGTAACAGAAGAAAAATGGTAGGAATTTCTTTAGAGCTCCCAGCGGAGCAGGGGGCTCTGACCTTCTGCCCTCCCTGCTGACGGAGACCCCGCTTCCCCCGTGGCGCCCTGCCCAGTGCTTGCCTCGGAGTCAGGAGGGTGGTGGCGGCAGCAGGGCTGCTTGGTGGGTGGAGGGAGCGGACAGCTTGTGTGCGCACGTGCTCGTGCCCGAGAAAGGGAAATGATTCTTTTGAGTCGGATTCTTGGCTGAGTCAGTGTTTGGGGGTGGGGGTGTGGTGTACAGAGCCCCACGAATGCCCTGCAGATTGCAATGGCCTGCGGTACAGGAACAATGACTGGATTATGCTTTTCAGCTTGCCTCTGCAATTTTATTATGAATGTCAGTGAATTGAGTTGCAGCCGTCTGTGTCCGGGTATCTGGCCAGTGCAGGCCCCGTCTCCACCTCCTCATCCTGCAGTGGTGGCGTCACCCCTCCAGCACAGCTCAGTCAGGCCGCACCTGCTCAGGGAAGCATTCCCTGACCCCATGGGATGTTTGGCTGTGTTTTTGACTTTGTCGTCATCCCGTTCATGCCCCTGATTGTGCGTTTCCCACATGGTATCCTGATAACCACAGTCGTGGTGTGCATAGCTCCTGCAGGGCAGGGAACTGGCTTCCGTGTCCCCAGGATCAAGCCTAGTGTTAGAGACTAAGTGCAAGTCCCACGGTCGTATGCTCTTTGACCCAGGGGGACCTTGTTCTGCACCATCTGCAGCAGCTCACTTTTCAGGTGGGAGAACAGGTCTTGGGAAGGCTGGTAGCAGGTAGGACTAGGACTGGGGCAGGACGTGGGTGTCCCGGTGCCCTGGTGAGCAGGCGAGAGGTTTCATTTATTGAGCATCTGGTTTGGACTGGCCTCTGCGTCATGAATACCCGCTGGAGAGATTTGGCCAGTGAAGTCCAGAGGCTCCGCATTTATTCATCTAGAGCATGGCCTGCCCAGTGGGAGTTCTGAAAGCTCTCCGGGTAATTCTTCCTTTTTTTTTTTGACAGGCAGAGTGGACAGTGAGAGAGAGAGAGAGACAGAGAGAAAGGTCTTCCTTTGCCGTTGGTTCACCCTCCAATGGCCGCCGTGGCCGGCGCGCTGCGGCCAGCGTACCGCGTTGATCCAATGGCAGGAGCCAGGTACTTATCCTGGTCTCCCATGGGGTGCAGGGCCCAAGCACTTGGGCCATCCTCCACTGCACTCCCTGGCCACAGCAGAGAGCTGGCCTGGAAGAGGGGCAACCGGGACAGAATCCGGTGCCCTGACTGGGACTAGAACCCGGTGTGCCGGCGCCGCAAGGCAGAAGATTAGCCTAGTGAGCCATGGCGCCGGCCATCCAGGTGATTCTGATGAGCAGCTGCGGCCAGGAGTCCGTGAGGTGGAGTCCCAGCGCGTCGTGGTGAGCCTCCGAGACTTGAGTTGATGTGCAGAAGAGACTTAAAACAATGAGGAAATAAAGCAGCCTCACAGAACAGTAAAAAATGAAGCTACTTAATGTTGCAATGCTTGATAACACTGTGGAGTTAAAATGCTCACTTTTGAAACCCATGTTCTCAAAGTTGAGAAAAAGGAAATTGGGAATACATCAGGAGAGCTGTCTTTTTTTTCTCCCCACAGAGTCCAGTCAGTTCTGTGACCGTCCGTGGCTTCCGGACATTGCCTCTGTTCATTTCATTGCAATGCACATGCGTGTGGTTCAGAAAAAAAAAATAATGCTTTGTTGCAACACGATTCCTGGCATAATTAGTTCAGTGAAGAGTGAGCAGTGCGTTAAGATTGAAAAATATCGTACTGGCATGGAAACCACTATAGAATTCCCGAGCTGGAACAATTCGGCCCACACATTCTGCCGATGAAGAAATTGGAGCCCAAAGAAGTTCAGTGCTTTGCTCACGGCCACACAACTGGCAGCCAGTCAAGTCATCATTCATTTGTTCGTTTGGTCATTCAGAAAATGTTTCAGTGCTTCTTTGTTCCAGCTTTGCCCTTGTTTGGGGATAGTAGTGGGCAAGTGACCATTTATGACAGTGGTGTGTGTGTGTGTGCATGTGTGCACGTGTGTCTATCTGTATAAGCGTGTGCATCGCTGAACCAGAAAATGTGAACAGGCATGCGAGTTCTGAAGAACACACGCATGGGGTGGTGGTAGCTTCTTGGGATCCCATTGGTGGTTAGAGAAAGCCTCCCTTGAAGAGATAGTCTTTAAGCTGAAGCCTTAATTACAATAAGGAGTCACCCATGAAAGGCTGCCCCACCTCCTGGAGGGGAGAGTCCTGGGAGATGAAACCCGGTCAGGAGCACAGATGTCCCAGCTGCACTGGGCAACACAAAGTCAGGCTCAAGGTGTTCGTGCCAGTAGGTGTTAGGAGGTGTTTTGTTTTGGTTGTTAACCTAGTCCCACTGTTGGTCAACTTTACCTGCAGCTTAGGCAAATGAGCATTTTACAAGGCATCACGGGATCTTGGAAACTCGGCCACTACAGTTGCCACTTCTCCGGCTGCGATGGCTGCTTAGGTTTTCGGAGGGCATCATTTTTGCTTCTGCAGAACCTGTGTCAGTCACGCGTTGAAGTCACGGCCAGGTTTTGCTTTGCTGTGCTGTTAGATCGAGAACTGGGAACAGCTCACATGGTGTCCAGTGTAGAGGTGTCCCACTCCAGTGCGGAGGCTCAAGACTGCTGTCTGTCTGTGCTGGGATGGTTGTGATTCCACGCCGACGCCTGCCTTTTTTCTTCACCAGATTGAGAACGCCAGCGAGGTGCTCATCACGCCCTTGGAGAAGTTCCGGAAGGAGCAGATCGGGGCTGCCAAGGTGAGCGTTCCATGGCCTTGTTCTGGGAGTGTGGGGTGGGAGGCCTGGGGAGCACAGCCCAGCATGGGCAGGTAAGCCTGGAGCCCCCTGCTCTGTCTTTGCAGGGCGACGCAGTACGGCCTTAGTCGCCTGCTCTGGAGCAGGCCCTCTAGCGTTTGTTCGCAGATTGCTTTAGATCATGGATCATCCGGAGGTGGAATCCTGGCTTGCTCTGTGTTTTGCGTAGCTGTGTGCTTGGACAGTGGACTGCAGTGCACAGTACACTGTTTCTGTTGAAATGTGTTTACTGTGGATGTCCACAGCTCTCAGCCTAAGCAGGGCTTGAGAATTTGACCCTGTGGGCACCTGAAATTTCTTTAAAGGGAGGCAGAGCAAGCGCTTAGCCAGATTTTGCCATGTGTGAGGAAACGGGCCCTCTCTTGCCAAATCTTTACATTTTTCCAATGTAAAAAGAGAAAAACTCTGAAAAGCCATAGTTCTATGTGGAATTTCTCACTGGAAAATAATTCAAAGTGTGTGTGTGTGTGTGTGTGTGTGTTGCACATTGTACAGGTCAGAAAGCCACATCTGCAGACCTGCCTCACCCCTGACACCACCACACGTTACCCCTGACCTGGGCGAGCTATAGCCAAAGCGAAGCTAATTCTCAGGTGTTACTCAAAGACCGCAAAGGGAGCCCTGTTCATTTTTCAAAGGTGTCTTCCCCAGGGTCTCCTGCCCAGTGTTAAATCACTCAGAATCCCCAGGCAGCTTGACCTTCCGATGAGTGTTAGGGCCACCTGTGGGGAAGACATTTTCATTGGAATCCATGGAAGCCAAAAGCTTTACATTTTCTTCCTGGTTTTCAGTTCAGTCTCAGTTCTTTGCGCCACCTGCTGGGCATTCTGGGCGTCACCACTCAGGCTTGGTGGGGACTTCATCCAATTGTAAAAAGGCCTTGAGAATTGAGGGCAGGTGGGACAAAGCGGCTGAGATGTCCAGCTTAGCTCAGCGCTCTCTCTCCCTCTCTCTCTCCCTCTCTCTCTCTCTCTCTCTCTCTCTCTCTCTCTCTGCCAGCTTTGTCACTAATAGAAGTAACTGAGGGAAGCCAGGGTATGAAGGAGGAGGTTTATTTCGGCTCAGTTTTGGACGCACACAGTCTCAGTCTGGCGGTCGGCTGGTCTGGCTTTTGGTGGCGACAGTGAATGTTTAAGCATGTGTTGAGGAAGGGGCACACGGTGAAGAGGAGGCAGAGGGAGGCAGGGAGCCCCCGGCCTCGGGTCTGTGTGGCCTTTCCTTGTGGAGCCACTGTGATTCCGTTATGGGCACTGCCTCACCGACCCAGGGCCCCCACTTGGGCCACCCCTGGACGGAGTCCCCACCTTAATCCCGGAAGGCCTGGAGGACCCTGCGTGTGGCTGCCTGGGATTTTGGGTCCACGGTTGGAGGAGAGACCCCGGCGGGCGTTTTCCTCCTGCTTTGATAACACGCCTCTGCCAGTCTTGGTTGCTGGTTCCCCAGGAATGGGGCCTCACTGGCTTAGCGTCCGAGCTTAAGGTCGGTGTCTGGTTCCACTGACAGACAGTTCCTCCAAGACTCGGGGCCCGCCGAGCGATGGCAGAGAACGTGCCGCGCATGGCCACAGCCTCGGCCCTCCCTGGCTATGCGGGGCCTTCTGCTCAGCGCCCTGGGACCTGAGCGTCCTGCTCCCCGTGAGCACTGGGCCGTGGCTTCCAGAGGTTGTGAGGGGGCATGAGGTGGAGGCAGGGCGGTCACCTCTCCTCCCCCAGGTGGCTTGGGGTTACTGCGGTGACCGTGGAGGAGTGGGCTCCCCGTGACTGACACCACGACCGTGGTGACAGGAGCAGCCGGCCTAGACACTGACACGTGGATGAGTGAGAGTTCCAATGGTCACTCACCAAAGCCTCTTTTCCCCTTAGGCACACGCTGTTCCCCATTCATTAAATCATTAAAAAGCATCAGTCAGATAGTTTGTTGAAGTTAGCCATCAGTCTTCACAGCTCGATTGGCCGATGTCTGGGGTAATTTTGCATCCCCCTCTCTTTGTCATCTCCTTTCTTTATTCACTGTATCCAGCTCTGCTGCCCACATACCCACACACCAGATTTCGTAAATTTAAGGAGATACCTGACAGTAAACCCACCGTGAGGGGCTCGAGGGAAAGGTGTCAGAGCAGCGGGGGCTCCCTGCCTGCAGGGGTAGCGCTGGATCCTGCCTGTGCAATGCTAAAATTACGTCTTCCTCCGCCCGCCTCTCTGGTGCTGCCTTGGTTGCCATGACAACCTGTTGCGAGAGCTGGGCGAGAAGGAGGGGTACGCGGACTGGACTTCCTGTGCTGATGTGGCTGCTCTGGGGTGGGCTACCACCTAGGAGCTTGGTGGAGTCAGTTGAGATTTCTGGGCGGGGGGATGTTGATTTCCCCCCGCGTATACCTGCACCTGTTTCTGAGACAGGTTTGGCAAGCTGGATGGTGTGTGAGAGCAGAATAGCCTACCCTGGGGAGTAGTGGTTAAGAGCCGGCCTAGAGAGGCACTGCGGGAGTCCTGTCTCGCTGCTGCTGTTTGCAGGTAAATCTGGGAGCCCTGATTCCTGATCTGAGAAATGGGTACAGTCAGGTCACTTGCCTCAGAGAGTTGCTGTGAGGGAGAAAGGAGTGAACTCACTGAAAGCACTTCAATCAGAGGCTGTCGTGTCAGGTGTGTGCATGTGAGAACAGAGGCTGCCCAGGGGTCATTTGCTGTTGGCTGCTGTCCTGGACATGCACGGTTCCTTTAAGAGATAGGGGAGCACACGCTCTGTGCCTGGCACCGCTCTTGGCCCTGGTGCTTGGTGGAGAACAAAGCAAGGGTGGTTCCGGTGCTGCTGGTGAGGCTGGGGGACATGCATTAGACAGAAAGACAGAAATACCTGTGTCATTTCAGGTGGTGGCAGGTGAGTGGAAGGGTTGTCTTCATGGTGCACGGGGCATGGAAAGCCAAGAGGTGTCCTTGGTGAAAAGGAGACAGGTGCGTGTGACAGCACCCTCTCTGTCACCACGGTCATCCCTGCTGTAGTGTCCTGAGCATGTCCCATGCTGAGCTCTGTGTGAGGGGCCTTCAGAAAATCTGGAATTAATAGATAAGTTAGTGTCAGTACAAAACATCTGGACATCCTTGAGTAGCTTTGTTGTGATGTGCCTTTCCTCCCGAGCTTTGGGAAGAGCCCTCGTGTGTGGTTTATCTCATTTAGTCCCAGCGATCACAGCAGGAGCAGGTGCTCTTGTCCTAGCTTTGTTACAGTCTTGGAGTCCTGAGAACCCCGCGCTGTGGCCTCCCCTCCTCAGCCTGGGTTTACGGATGAGAACGCTGCCCCTGGAGAGGGGCTGTGGTTTGTTCAGAGTCGTGCCCTGCAGGCTGGAATCAGTTCCAGGATCCTAAGCCAGTCCTTCGGCCTCTCAGTGCTCTGTACACAGTGGCCGCGCTGGAGGTGAAACCGTCCTGTGTCCTGAGTGGCTCTAGGTAACACTGTTCTGCCATAAACAGTTCTTTTGCGTTGGTTTTACTTATTTATTCGACAGGCAGAGAGAGAGACACGGATCTTCTGTCCTCTGGTTCACTCCCCCAATGCCTGCAACAGCCAGGCTGGGCCAGGTGGAAGTCAGGACCTGGGAACTCCAGCCGGTTCTCCCACGTGGGTGGCAGGGACCCGATACTTGGGCCATCACGTGCTGGTGCCCAGGGTGCACAGTAACCGGAAGCTGGACTCTGGAGCGTAGCACTCTGATACGGGACACAGGCATCCCAGGTGGCATCCTGACTGCCACACCATGTGCCCCCACACTTCCCGCCCCTATGACATGCCCCCCATCCCCCACCCCGCGCCTCCATGAGAGTATTTCCTTCGTGGCTGGGCTGTTCCCGCGCAGGCCGCACTGCTGTTTTCTTGGGCCGGAAACGGCTTTGCTTCCTCTTCACTCTCTTCGCTTGTTCCGTCCGCTTCTCTGTTGGTCCTGCTTGAGCATGCCGTGGGAAGGCGTGATTTGCCAGAAGGTCCACATGCCAGTGTCGCCCATTCCCTGGCCTTTCCTTCTCGCTGGCCAGCTGGATTGCGCTGGCCCCAGGGCGCTCCTTTTTGGGATTACTGACCAGGCTGCTGGACGTGGATGTGAGCAGTAATTAGACTTGGGGCCAGGCCAGCTCACAGGTCCTGGTTCCTATAAAGGAGTAGAGTTGCTGGGGTCAAGTCTTTGCCTGTACCTTTCTCAAATTGAAGGGGTAGTATTCCTCCAATTTTTTCTCTGTTGGTTTGATATTTTTTATATTATTGTCCTTGCGTGTGGATGGTTTTCTTAAAGAAGTTAAATGCAGGGGCTGGCGCTGTGGTGCAGCGGCTTAAGCCACTGCCTGTGATGCCGGCAGCCCATATGAACACTGGGTCACGTCCTGGCTGCACCACTTCGATCCAGCTCCCTGCTGATGAGCCTGGAAGGCAGCAGAAGATGGCCCAAGAGTGCTTGGGCGCCTGCACTCACGTGGGAAACCTGCATGGAGTTCAGCTCGGCTCAGACCTGAGCATTGTGGCCAGTGGAGGAGTGAACCAGTAGATGGAAGATCTCTCTCCTTCTCTGTCTATGTCTCTTCCTTCTCTCTGTAATCCTGCTTTTCAAATAAAGAAATAACTGATCTTAAAAGGATTTAGCCCTGTAGAAATGGATTCTTGCCAGTTACTCTGCTCAATTACTCCGTAGGTCTTAGCTCCCATCTCCCCTCCCCGGGAGGCCTTCCCTGCACATCCCCTCTGAAGAATCTCCGCGGTGTGGAGCACTGGTCATAGTGATGCTGCTGCTTGCTTGTCCCCTGATGGTGTTTCTCTTTCATTCATTCATTCATTCATTGACAGGCAGAGTTAGTGAGAGAGAGAGAGAGAGAGAGAGAGAGAGAGGGAGGGAGGGAGGGAAGGAGGGAGAGGTCTTCCTTTTTCCATTGGTTCACCCCCCAAATGGCTGCTATGGCTGGCGTGCTATGCTGTGCCAATCCGAAGCCAGGAGCCAGGTGCCCCCTCTTGGTCTCCCATGCGGGTGCAGGGTCCAAGCACTTGGGCCATCCTCCACTGCACTCCCGGGCCACAGCAGAGAGCTGGACTGGAAGAGGGGCAACCGGGACAGAATCCAGCGCCCCAACCATGACTAGAACCCGAGGTGCTGGCGTTGCAGGCAGAGGATTAGCCTAGGGAGCCGTGGTGCTGGCCGGTGTTTCTCTTTCTAGAACATTCCCACTTCGAGGAGAGGGACCGCTTCTGACTGGTGTTGTCAGTGCCTGGTGTGGAACCTAACAGAGTGGCTGCTCGTTATGAGTTTGTTAATGAATAAAGAGATCGAGCGGAGCTTCCTGTCTGGCTGGGAAGCTTTTTCTGCCTCTGGTCCTGGGAGAGCACACGCGTGTTCCCTGCAGGCTCCATGTGAGTCAGGAGCAGCCCTGTTGCTGGTCATCTCGCTGTGGTGTAGCTGACCAGGGCCAGCCTCCTGCTGCGCCCTGGGCCACTGTCCCTGCTGGGACGCGGAAGGGAGAGACTGCAGTGACCCTCTGCGTCCAGTGTGCTGGGGGTGTGCCCTCGGGAGGGGCACTGTCCCGGCTCAGATCTCGGCCCTCTTCCCCTCTGGGGCTCTTGACAGATTCACTTCCCCATCTGTAAGGTGGGGGATAGTAAGGCCGGCGCCGCAGCTCACTAGACTAATCCTCCGCCTTGCGGCGCCGGCACACCGGGTTCTAGTCCTGGTCGGGGCGCTGGATTCTGTCCCGGTTGCCCCTCTTCCAGGCCAGCTCTCTGCCGTGGCCAGGGAGTGCAGTGGAGGATGGCCCAGGTGCTTGGGCCCTGCACCCCATGGGAGACCAGGAGAAGCACCTGGCTCCTGCCATCGGATCAGCGCGGTGCGCCAGCCGCAGCACACCGGCTGCGGCGGCCATTGGAGGGTGAACCAATGGCAAAAGGAAGACCTTTCTCTCTGTCTCTCTCTCTCACTGTCCACTCTGCCTGTCAAAAAAAAAAAAAAAAAAAAAAAAAAAAAGAAAAAAAAGTGGGGGATAGTGACAGGACCACAGAGAGCCGGTGACTCGGAGGAGGAACAGGGATTGATGCACGCATCGCTGTGATTGTTTGCTTTTTGAAGGCACGGCTCATGCAGGCTAACAGAGGTTTCCCAGGGAGAGAGAAAAATTACCCAGGATCCCACTTCCTTAACTCGGGCATTTTCAGTCGCGTGCATCCCCTGTCATCTCCGCACAGGGAGACCCCATGCCGCACGCACCAGGTCTCCGTCGTGCTTTCCTGTCTGTCTCGTGTCCCGAGTGGTTTTCCACAGGAGCAGTTGCGGCTGTGGCGTGTCGGACGCTGTCCTAGTTGCAGTCCTGTTGGCTTCTGCTCCCTTCTGCTCCGCAGGTGCAGTGAGCAGCCGAGGCAGATGGAATCTTTGTATCCAGATGCTCCTCAGCCTAGAGTCTGCGTGTGGGGCGGCCGTGTTGGGAGGTGTGGGTCTGTATGTCCAGGACTGCTTTGTGCATGCTAGGGATCAAGGCTGGGTTTATCCTGCGCGGATCCACACGTCACCTATTTAAACTGGAAGTAGATCTGCCTTCCTGTATTAGCATGGGTTGCCTCGCTCCTTTCTTTGGGGGTTAGAGACTAGAAATTTGGGCTTCAAAATGTAGTATCTTAGAATTTGGACTTCCTGCTTTCCCCTGCTTAGCACTGGGCACGACCTGTGACAGGCAGGTGCTTGTTCCCGAGGGGCTCTGATTTCATGGGCGTCGTTTGAAGAGTGGGAGCGAGGTACGTGCCGCCGCCCTGTGCTCAGGGGAGCACAGCTGTGACGCTGAGCAGGAGCGTGCAGGCCTGGAGTGGCTTTTATTCACCATTTTCTTCTTCTTCTTTTTCGGTCAGGAAGCCAAAAAGAAGTATGACAAAGAGACCGAGAAGTATTGTGGCGTCTTAGAAAAACACTTGAATTTGTCTTCCAAAAAGAAAGAATCGCAGCTTCAGGAGGTGAGACCTTGACGGGGACCCCGAGTAGTTTCTGTGTGGTGCAGGGGGATGGGCTGGCTGCTCTGGGCCCCAAGTTCTCGGGGAGGGGAGGGTTGGGAGAGACCTAGGAAAGCTGGCATTTGGTCCTGATCCCGCTCCCCCTGCCCGATGCCAGGATGACCTCTGCACCTCGCTGGAGACGGTGCTCCGACTGCCCCAGGTCCTCCCCTCCGCGGACACTTGCCGTGACGCTCTTCCCTTGCCGTCCTCTGCATGCCGTCTCGTGCCCATGGAGCTGCACAGAGCTCTGAGGGCCGGGATCGGGCTGCAGGCCCTGGGTTCTCAGGCCAGTTCTCCAGCGTCGCTTGTTAGTTGTACCTGAACTGAGTGACAGGCACTGGAAGCCCAAGAACCCAGCGGCTGCTGCAGCCCGCACTTCCTGATGCACGTTCGGGACCCAAGAATGCGGCGTCTTCTCCACTGCCTTGGAAGGCCCGGGCCTGAGTGTGTCTGCATTTTGCAGAGGTGGACACTGAGGCTGCCAGCAGCTGGTCAGTCCTGGGCTCTCGCCAGACGTCGTCAGCCCACATCCTCTATTTAGTGATTTTCTTCGTATATGTTAACAGATACAAATCAACTTTGGGGAAGCATTATTAAACACCTGGCACCCTGTTGCTGGCATCTACGCACTGATTATTCAGCACTGTTAATTGATTGCCAGCTTCCCAGCCAGTGCCTCGAGCCCTTCCCTCAGTCTGTGAAGGGAGACACTAGGGAGCAGGGTGGGATGACACTGCCACCTAGTGGATGGTTTTTTAATCAGCGTTCAATAGCTAAGGAGTTATCTGCAGAGGGGTTATTGTTGGTTCCTTTGACGTGCATACTCATTGCATATTTCTGTGGGAGTTGTCTGGCTCAGGGAGTTTTGTGGGGAATGAAATGAAGGATCTGCTTTCATGGAACTTATGGGCATCCTTCAAAAAGGTGGAAAATGAAATTGAAAGGCAGGTTCATTTTTGTGCAAAAAACGTTGGGATCCATGCCCATGAGGGGTCTTCACTGTGTTCACGAAAACTGTGTCTGATGAGACAACAATGTGTGGATTTAAAAATTTTGCTGCGCCATAGGGCCAGTGCTGTGGCTCAGCAGGTTAATGCCCTGGACTGAAGCGCCGGCATCCCATATGGCCGCTGGTTCGAGACCCAGTTCCACTTCTGATCCGGCTCTCTGCTATGGCCTGAGAAAGCAGTAGAGGATGGCCCAAATTCGTGGGCCCCTGCACCCGCGAGGGAGACCCTAAAGAAGCTCTTGGCCCCTGGCTTCGGATTGACGTAGCTCCAGCCGTTGTGGCTATCTGGGGAGTAAACCAGTGAATGGAAGACATTGCTCTCTGTCTCTACCTCTCTCTGTAACTCTGTCTTTTAAATAAATAAAATAAATCATAAAAAAAAAAGAAGCGAGGCCTGAGGGCACCACCTCCCTTCTCTGGAGAGTGTCCGCGACCTGAGCCAGTCTCATCAGCTGGAACATGCTAGCCCCAGGCCTTGCTCCTGGATCAGCTCAGACCCATAATTGGCGTCAGCTCTTCCCTGCTCACAGGGCCTGCCTCTGGTGCCTTCATGCCCTCCTCACTGCAAAAGGAGCTTCGCATGTATCCGGGACCACCCTTTAGCCCCCTGGCTGGGAGAAGGCATGAGGCACGGGGGAGGTCAGGGGGGTGCATGCATCCCACAGGGTAGGTTTTGGGTTTGCACAGGAGGCCATGGAAGGCTACACAAGCATACTGACCATGGCTGGCAGGAGCCCAGTGGGGAAGGGTCTCAGCCCAGTCATTTAAGCCAGGGGTGTTGGGGGAAGGGGGCTTCTGAAATCATGTCTCTGATTCAGTCCTGTCAGTTCCTTCCCTACGTGGGCACTTTAGAAACTCCCTGTGACCGAGCCCTGCAGCTGGGTCCCATGCAGCAGGCACTTTGCATACCAGCTGCTGCTGCTTCTTTTTAAAGATTTATTTATTTATTTGAGAGGTGGAATTACAGAGGCAGAGAGAGAGAGAGAGAGAGGTCTTCCATCTGCTGGTTCACTCCCCAAATGGCTGCAACAGCAGGAGCTTCTTCCAGGTCTGCCATGCGGGTGCAGAGGTCCAGGCACTTGGGCCATCCTCCACTGCGCCACAGTAGAGAGCTGGATTGGAAGTGGAGCAGCCGAGACTCAAACTGGTGCCCATATGAGATGCTGGCACTGCAGGCGGTGGCTTCCCCTGCTCTGAAACCACTTCGGGCTCAGCATACTGGCTTCTGTGCACTGATGTGCAGGTTCCTTGCGGAGGAAGTTGGTTGCAGGAGAGCGTGTATGTACTCTTTGGGTCTGTTTGGTAGTATCTGGAACTTTGCCAGGACTTTATTTTCGTGATTTCTTGACCAATGTTTCTTTTCTTAGCTATGCTGTAAGCTCCACGAAGGAAGTTTCTTTCTGCTCATGATAGCTGAATATGAATGAGTGATTTGCTGAGTTCAGATGTCGGAGCAGTGCGTTGAATTTGTATAATGGAAGGGGTCTGCCTCTTTTCTTAGCAAGAATCTTTATTTGAGAAAAAGAGAGAGGGAGATAGATAGAGATGAGCTTCCATTCCCTGTTTCACCCACCAGATGACCTCAGTGACTGGGGCTGGGCCAGGCAAACCCAGGAAGCCAGGAATTCAGTCTGTGTCTTCCATGAGGGTGGCAGGGACCCAGTCGCCTGAGCCGTCCCTGCTGTCTCCAAGGGTGTGCATTAGCAGGAAGCTGGAATCAAGAGTGCAGCAGGGACTCGAACCCAGGCACTGTGATAAGGAGTGCGGGTGTCCCAACTGGCAGCCTAACCACGAGGCTTGATGCCTGTGCTTGGGGGAATCTTAGCAAAGGAACACTTGAAAGACGGCCTCCTTTGGGGGCTTTGCCCTGGGAAAGGGCGGTGTAGAATGGCCTTGGATGCCAGGGTTTCTAAGGAAGCAGCGCTTTGTTTCCTGCCAGCACGGTGTTTGTTTATATGAAAAGCTCCATTGACTGTGGTCTTTGGTCAGAGTGTGCTTTCAGTGTGATGAGGTGCTGTGAAGGAGTGAGCTGAGACAGCCTTGTCCAGAGCGCCCCGGTAGGAGCCACGCCTCATCTCAGCACAGCCTCCTGCTACCCCTTCTGTCTTCTTCCCCCTGGCTCGAGGTCCCAGACCCCTGGTGTCATTGGGCCCACTCTTGGTGGGGTCCTGGACGTGGAGATACACAGAGGAAGAGTAGAGGCAGAGGGAGCAGGGCACTCCTCTTAGGGGTCAGCTGACTGTTGGTCCTTGAAACTAAGAAAATACTCATGTCCACATGTCTTCTGGGGCTGGTGTTGTGGCACTTGCAACCAGGGCATTTTTGGAGTGCCATTTGGTAGTCCTGGCTTTTGTGCTTCCTATCGGGGTACCTGCTAATGTACCTGGGAGGCAGCAGAAGATGGCCCAAGTGTTTGGGCCCCTGCCACCCACGTGGAGACCAGGTTGGGGTTCCTGGCTCCTGACTGCCCTGGCCTGGCTGCCATCTGGGGACTGAGCCAGCAGAGAGCAGACCTCTTTCTCTGTCTGACTTTCTCTCCCTCTCTGTCACTCTGCCTTTCAAATGAATACATCCTCTTAGAAAATCGAGCTTCTATGAGGTTCCCTGCCCTGTTCTCACATCAGGAAGCATGGGTGAGGATGGCCACCGACGGGTTTTCTTTTTTGATTAAGAACGATCTGTCTGCCATGGAGCCCAGGTCTGCTCCGGGGTGTGGGGCCACACGGGGACCTGGAGTGCCTGAAGGATGATCAAGGGTCTGGGGAGGAGATCCGGCGGGATGGACACCGGCTGTGCTGTGGACGAGCTTGTGTGACCTTGGTCAAGCCCCTCGGGGCCAGGGTGCTTCGTTTTCCTCCTGTGCGTTAGCCGTGAAGATGCTGTGCCGGTATGGGAGCTTAACGGGGAGTCGGCGATGAGCGTTCGTGAGGGTTTGGTGAAGCGGTGGACGTCCACCTGCAGGCCTGGGGCCTGGGGCCCGGTCCGTGCTCGCTGACCTTGACTGTTACTTCCGTGCTGTGCTCTCTGTCTCGTTTTCGTGAGCCCTCACCAGAGCTGGTTGTCTGGCCTCTTTACGAATGCTGTCCTGGGAAAGTGACTTGACTTTTCTCTTCGATCCCGTCCCGTGTGTAGGCAGACAGCCAAGTGGACCTGGTCCGGCAGCATTTCTACGAGGTGTCGCTGGAGTACGTCTTCAAGGTGCAGGAAGTGCAGGAGCGCAAGATGTTTGAGTTCGTGGAGCCTGTGAGTACCTGTCCGGCGTGGACGCCCGCCCCGCACCCCCGCCTTCGCCTTGCACTCCCACTGCCCCGTGGACTACGCAGGGCTCCCAGTTGGGATGGAAAGGCTGAGAGCCCTGGTGCTCTGTCTTTTTCGGCCACCCCAGCCTCTCCCAGCAGCCTCTCCTCCACAGCCATAGCAGGGGCAGCAGAACAGTCGGCGGAGGAGGCCTCCTCTCGCTGCCCGCTGCCCCTGCTCCGTGGTCTGCTGTTTGCACTGGGAATGGGAGGCCGGCAGGGAGGAACCGGCAGCTCGCTGTCACGTGTGGTTACTCCTGGACTCTCCCACCCTTCCTTCCTCCCACAAATAACCCAGATGTCGTCGCTGCCTGAGGAAGCGGTGCCGTCCTCGCGATGCCCCGTGCGCAGAGCCCCTCCTCCGCTCAGGCAGACGTTAGAAGGCGGTGGCTCACCGTGGGTTCCTTAGAAACAGAGCAGCAGAGGGGACCGTGATGCAACGCAGGCTTGGGCAGTGTCCAAGGGCTGGGCAGAGTCTGGCTTCAGCTCAGGCCTCAGGAGCCTGGTTGTGGTGTGGGGCAGACGTGGGACTGCTGCTCTGCCCTGTTTTTTTAGTAGGGAGTGCTGTGTTCCATTTCTGTTTTTTTTTTTTTTTTTTTTTAACTTGTTTTTATTTACTTGAAAGGCAGAGAAAGACAGAGAGATTGATTGATTCTGTCTGCTGGTTCACTCTCCTAATGGCCACAACAGCTGGAGCTGGGCCAGGCTGAAGCCAGGAGCCTGGAACTCCATCTGGAGTCTCCCATGTAGGTGGTAGGGGCCCAAGGACTTGGACCATCTTCCACTAGTTTCCCAGGTGCATTAACAAGAAGCTGGATCAGAAGTGGAGCAGGTGGGAATTGAATAGTGCTTTGATGTGAGGTGCCAGTGTCATAAGCTGAGGCTGGTCCCTGTATTTATTTCAGTTTTAATTTTTATATCTATGAGATGTTTCTTTGGCATATAGATTTGCTAGTAGTTTTGTCAGGACTCCCATTGGCTTTGGAATCTAATAGGGTCTTTTACTATGTAGGAATTATGATCTTAGAATTCCACTCCCAGCCAATTCCTTTAAAGCTTTTTTTTTTTTTTATTACTACTAGTTTTACTGACAGGCAGAGTGGACAGTGAGAGAGAGAGACAGAGAGAAAGGTCTTCCTTTTCCGTTGGTTCACCCTCCAATGGCTGCCGTGGCCAGTGCGCTGCAGCCGGCGCACCGCGCTGATCCAATGGCAGGAGCCAGGTACTTATCCTGTTCTCCCATGGGGTGCAGGGCCCAAGCACTTGGGCCATCCTCCACTGCCTTCCCGGGCCACAGCAGAGAGCTGGCCTGGAAGAGGGGCAACCGGGACAGAATCCGGTGCCCCGACCGGGACTAGAACCCGGTGTGCTGGCGCCGCAAGGCGGAGGATTAGCCTAGTGAGCCGCGGCGCCGGCCAATTCCTTTAAAGCTTTAATCTACCTTTTGTGATCTGAATACAAGGGCTCTGCAAAGAGTTCATGGAAAAGCCGGCACTGTGGCTCAGTGGGTTAATCTTCTGTCTGCAGCGCAGGCATCCCATATGGGTGCTAGTTCTAGTCCCAGCTGCTCCTCTTTTGATCCAGCTCTCAAACATGGCCTGGGAAAGTAGTAGAAGATGACCCAAGTGCTCAGGCCCCTATACCCGTGTGGGAGACACAGAAGAAGCTCCTAGCTTTGAATCAGCTGAGCTGTAGCTGTTGCGGTCATTTAGGGATTGAACCAGCCAATGGAAGACCTTTCTCTCTGTCTTTCCCTCTCACTGTCTGTAACTCTGCCTCTCAAATAAATAAATAAAATCTTAAAAAAATGCTATACATACATTTCAAAATTATTTTTGGTACCAAAATATGCTCTTAGTGACTTGTTATACCAGTGTCTAAGCCTGGCTAGTTTGAGGCTCTTGGAAGGATTAGACCTTGGTTTCCAGAGAGCCTGTCAGATAATGGCATTCTGTAAAGAGTCAAGCAAGAACAAGCCGCAAATTGATAGGGAGGCTTGGGTGGAAGGATGGTGAAATCATTGATGCCTTATAAGACGTTTATGGGAATAATGCCCCAAAGAACTCTGCGGTTTTTAAGTGGATGCCTTGTTTGAAGAAGGGATGAGACAATGCAGGAGATGAAGCCTGTGGGAACAAAGCATCCGCGTGAATTTCCAAGGGCAAATTAATCTCGTTCATGTGCGAATGGAAGAGCATCCGCACTTGACAGCAGAAACAGTAGCCAACACCATGGACGTCTCAGTTGGTTGGGCGTACATAATCATGACTGATAAATCAAAGTGGAACACTTTCCTCTCGGTCGATGCCACAGCTGTAGAGCCCAGATCAGCCGTAGACGAGAGCAGAACTTGCAGTGGAAATGTTGAACAAGTGGGATGGAGAATCTGAAGCAGGACGTGGAAATCTCGATGATCCTGAAGACAAAGTGCAGTCGAGGCAGTGGCTGCCCAGCGGCCGCAGTGGCTCAGCCCCAGCAGAAGTGAGCTGGTCATGTGCAGAGGCCATGGCCACAGTGTTTTGGGACGCTCAGAGCGGCTGGCTGTTGACTCCCTGGAGGGCCCAAGAATGATAACATGTGCTTCTACCAAGAGAGTGTTTTGAGGGAATTAGCCAAGTCTTCAGCGGAAAAGCCCCGGGGGCAGCTTCCCAGAGTCCTGCACCAGTACTCCCAGGCACTGCTCTCGGCACTCACGGACAGTTCTGCGAGGGTTCTGCTGGGGAATTGTCAGGCATCCCGTACAGACCTGATTCATGTCCATCCGGCGTCGTTGTGTTTCCTTGTCTTCAAGGTGTGGGCCCTGAGGATTTCTTGGTGCCGTTCCTTCCTCCACTGTCCTCCAGCTTCCTTCTCTCCTCCCTTCCTGCCCTGGGCCTCTCCCCTCTCCGGTCTGGCCTGCACCACAGCACGTCTTCCGCGTCAGGCTGGGCGTACCTGTTTCTTGCCGCCCAGCTCTGCAGTGCTTGTGTTATGTCAAGGATGTGCATGGTCTTCACTGCCCAGGGTATCATTGGTGTCCCCCGTGAAGACCGAGTTGAGGGAGCTTGGTGGCTTAGCTGGCTCGGCTGCCCTACTGTCTGCTGCGTCAGTGAGTGATGCCTGGTAGCTGTGTGTACCAGGCCTGCTGTAAGGAGTACCACAGACTGGGTGGGAATCTTGTCTCCCAGCTGGAGAGGCCAGAGTGTGAGGCTGTGGTGTAGGCAGGGGCACGCTCCCTCTGACACCTGGAAGGAGAGGCTCTGTCCTCTCCCCAGCTTCTGGCCCTTTGCTGGCCATTGGTGGTGTTCCTTGGTTGATATAAAGGTTTAGAAAGTTCACCAGAAAATGGAAGTAAAAGATGAGTTGCTTTGGGTGCAGAGTCTTTGTAAGATATATGCTTAATTTCTTTTGTTTTGTAATACTCATGTTCCATGAACTTTCTGAAGACCCCTGTGCAAATAGATTTCAGATTTTTTAACTGACATTTTGATTTCATCTTCCATAAGCTTTGAGGGGTCCCCTTGGGTGCATCGTGCCCGTCCTCCGTCTTCACATGGACAGCTTCCCTCTGTTTGTGTCTGTCTCTATGTCCAGGCTAATGAGGACACAGCCATGTTGTGCTCCTGAAAGCATTAGGACCCACTCTACTTACCTTATTTTATAACTTGATTGCCTCCGTAAAGACCCCATTTGCCAATAAATTCTCATTCTCAGATGTTGGGGGTTTGAGCTTACATGTGTGTTTGAGGGAACACGATTTAATACGTGATGGTTGTTCTGGTCTAGTGGGCAGCCAGAACTAATGGCAACAGTGGCACCTTTGTTTTAAATAAAGTAAGTGGTGTCCACGGTCAGCGAGGAAGGAGGAGTCCGTGTGCATGCAGCCCCACTCTGAGGACCAGCGGGATAGGTGGGAGGCCGAGGCAGGCAGGGAGGCCCGCTTAGCCAGCCTGGGATTTTGTGGTTGCCTGGTGGAGGCGCTGAGCTCTCTGAGCTGACGGCCAGGTGGGCTGCGGCAGAAGCCTTTCCTCCCAGCAGCCGAATCCTCCGTCCGTGGAGTCTAAGGCCTGGACTCTGATTTCCCGCAGGTGATGCAGGTGCCAAGGTTCAGAGGGTCTGGGGGAGGGCAGGGAGGCGGAAGTGGGCTGCAGTACCAGTAAGGCATCATTTCCCCTGTGGACGGTCAAGGCAGGAGACCAAAGGACGTGAATACAGAAATTAATGTCAGCAACTCCGCTGTCTTGCTTGTGGAACCCTTGGATGTCTGCCCAAGTGGCGTCTTCTCAGTGGGCTGGTTGAGAGCACTGAATGAGCCCGAGAGAGACAGGCCCTGTTTGGACAGATCAGAGTTCATGGGAGGAATGGCCTTAGAATTGAGCTCCTTGTCCTCTGCGTTATCCTCATGCAGGGGTGGGCTAGGGCCTCAGACAGTGATGGGGCCCAGCAGGGAGGGCAGAGATAACAAGAGGAAATGAGGGTCCTTACTGAGAGTACCGGACTGCCTTGAGCAGGAAGAGCCCCTTTGCTCTGTCCCTGAGGCACCCAGGCCAGAGTTTCATGTAGATAATGCACGGAGGCTTTGGTCCTCTTCGCAGAAGAGAGTTCCTGGCAGCGGTAGTCTGTGGTTCTCACTCACTTGCTGATTTGTGTTAGGGATCTGTGTATGGTTCCACTAGATGCCTTGACAACCACAACGCCCCTGATGCCTGCTTCCCCACCTCCCATGAGAATCCAAGGGGACAGAAGTGTCTGGGACAGTGGCAGAGGGATGTCACGGCACCATATTGTTTATCTGATTTCTCAGTGCACAACTCTCTATTTATTTAAAGATGTATTTATTTGAAAGGCACAGTTCTATATATAGAGAGATCTTCCATCTGCTTGTTCAGTCCCCAAATGACCACAATGGCCTGGGCTCAGCCAGGTCAAAGCTGGGAGCCTGGAATGCTGTCCATGTCTCCCATGTGGGTGGCAGGGGTCCAAGTACTCGGGCCATCCTCTGCTTTCCCAGGTGCATCAGCAGGGAGCTGGATTGGAAGTAGAGCAGCCTGGCAGCTACACCTGCTGTGTCACAACACCAGTCCCCAGAGCTCTTTGATAAACTGGGCTGGTTATGTGACTTAGCCTGAAGACAGGTCACCACTCTGAGCTTAGAGTGCCACCTGCCATGGTGCCTACCATCGCTGCTGTAAGCCAGGTGAGAGCGTGGGGGTGGGTGTGTGGGATGAGATCCACATCCTTTTTCAGTGAATATTGGGGCTGCTAATCAGAACAGAAGAGGCAGGGTCTGGCGCTGTGGTGTAGTGGGTTAAACTAATGCCTGGGACACTGGTTCATGTCCCGGCTGTTCCAGTTCTGATCCAGCTCCTTGCCAAAGGCCTAGGAAAAGCAGCAGAAGATGGCCCAAGTGCTTGTGTCCCTACCACCCACATGGGAGATCCAGAAGAAGCTCCTGACTCCTGGCTTTGGCCTGGCTGAGTCCTGGCCATTGGTGGTCATGTGGGGAGTGAACCTGCAGATGGAAGGCCTCTCTGTTTCTCTCCCCATCTCTCTGTAGCTCTTAAAATAAATAAATACATCTTTTTTTTTTTTTTTTTTTTGCCTTTTTTGCTTATTTATTTGAAAGGCAGAGTTACGGGCATGGACTCTGGCTGTGGTCCTTTCCTCACAGGCAGCTGGAGGGGCCAGGAGAACACAGCAGGGGAGGGGTTGGGTGCAGCTCGGGACAGATGTTGTGGGGACGTTGTTGAGTTTGGAGAAGTGAAGGCTGGCGGGGGCTCCCGGTGGGGACATGGATAGTTTTTCAGTATTCAAGGATTGGGGTAGACGGATGTTTCACTGTTCACCAAGGACAACACTAAATAGCGAGTGAGCTCACTCAGTAGCCTGGGAATGCAGGGAAGCCCGTGTACCTGAAGGGGGGGGCAGCATGGGAATAATTAACTAAAGGAGGTCCCGTGTTGGCTTCTGGATAATTTGGGGAAAGCACAGAAACACACGTCGGCTGGAGTCTGATCTGGGTGAATTTCTGTGCCTGCCTCTGCCAGGTAGACTGCGCACTCAGAACACGGTGGCTTCCTTCTCGCCCGTGCTCTGCAGTGGGATCACTGTCTATTATAAATGTCAGGGCAGGGGGCCGGTGTTGTGGTATAGCAGGTAAAGATGCCAGCATCCCATATGGGCGCCGGCTTGGGACCCGGCTGCTCCACGTCTGATCCAGCTCTCTGCTGTGGCCTGGGGAAGCAGTGGAAGACGGCCCACATCCTTGGGCCCCTGCACCTGCGTGGGAAACCCAGAGGAAGCTCCTGGTTCCTGCTTGGATCAGCTGAGCTCTGGCTGATGTGGCCATCATGGGAGTGACCCAGTGGATGGAAGACCCCTCTCTGCCTCTCCTTCTCACTATGTGTAACTCTGACTTTCAAATAAATAGATAAATCTTTAAAGAATAAATAAATAAATAATGGCAGAGTGGAAGCCGAGCCAGAGCTCTGGTCTTTGGTTTCTGAAGAACTGATGTTCTGAGCAAGTGTTAAGGCTCACAGGGTGGCAACAGCGATGCTGCCACCCAGGAGACCTGGTTTGGAATCCTGGCTGCCGCTCACGGGGTGTTTCGGGGCGAGGTGCTCATTAACCTCCCTGAACCTGCTTCCTCGCTGGTGAAGTGGGGTCTGCAGTGATCCTTGGGTCGTTGGCTGTCTGAGTGTGCTGTGGAGCCGAGGAGTGCACAGTGCCTGGTGCACAAGAGGTGTGCAGCACTTGCTCATCCGTTCTTGCTGCTGTGTTCTCGGCTTTCACAACAGCGTTGGGAACTCAGATACACCCACACAGTGTCCCCTTTCAGCCTGCCCGTCTCACTGCACCTTCCTCGTTCCAGCTGCTGGCCTTCCTGCAGGGCCTCTTCACTTTCTATCACCATGGTTACGAGCTGGCCAAGGATTTTGGCGACTTCAAGACACAGCTGACCATCAGCATACAGAATGTGAGTGGGCAGAGGGATGGGCTTCCTTTCTCTGGGTAAGGAAAGGGAAAAACAAGCGTGGGTCTGGTTGCCAGGGAGCCCACCCACGTGGCCTGGAATGCAGGGGGCCGGGTGGGTCTTGCCTGGGTCTGGAGAGCAGCAGGGGGCAGGTGTTCTGAGGGTGGCCCGGGTCAGACGCCTGCTCTTTATTATTTCAAAGCCCTATTTCTGTTCTGTATGTTCTCGGAAGTGCTGCTGCCCATTAGGCTGGAGATCTGTCGCATCACAGTCAGGATTTCCTTTGGAAGTGGAAATCCCGCCCAGTCCAGCCCAGCCTCCCTCTGTGCACTTGTCTGCCTGACATTTTGGAGTGTGTGCTCAGGGGATGGGGGTGGGGGCCCCGTGCTGGCCTCCTGCTTAAAGGATGTGCTCTTAATCCATCTCCTAGGAAGGCTCCCCGGAAATCCCAGTCAGTGCCCTCCGCTCCCAGTCTCCTCCCCCCAGTTATACACAGGGTCTCTGTGCAGAGAATCCCGCGTGGGGCTTTTAAGAGCAGTTCCCTGGGCTCCAGTGCTCACCTTCACTGCATGCTGAACCCTGTTAGTCTTCCTCTTGTCTTTGCTTCAGGGTGACTGTGTAGGAAACAAGCCCGGGTATGTCTGTGTGCTGGTGTGGCATAGTTGTTAGGAGCCAGGAGCTGCCCTGTCCCCTGTGTCATCAGAGCAGGGGATCACAGAGAGTCGGGAGGTTTCACAAAGCAGGGCTTCCCTCAGGCTGGGTTCCTCCCGGGGCCGACTCTGCAACAGAGATGTTGGTGCAGCAGTTTTACTGGGGGCAGTGGCACAGAAACAGCTGGGCCAGGGTGGGGGTAGCAGGATGGCGAGACCTCATCAGTGCCCCCTGGGCCCTGGAGCTAGGGTGGGTCTTCATGGTGGGTCTGAATAGAAGCCAGGGGGCCTGGCTTGTGGCCCCTTCCCCTTTTGCCTCTAGCCTTCACCCGTTACAGGTACTGGGTGGGGGTAGTGAGTGGCCTTGAGTGCAGGATTTCATGCAGGTCTGAAGGCATGAAGACCCCTGGCCCTTCTGAAACAGAATCACTTTGGATGCTTATTCAAAGCTCACATTTCAGGGTCTAAGAAACTAAATTGGTATCTGGGCGTGAGGCCTGGGCATTTGCATTTTCTGTAAGTTGCCTAGATGGCTTTGATGATTGCTAGAGTTTGAGAGTCATTCTGGCATAGGACTTGGACACCAAAATACAAAACTCAGGAATGAATGTTTGCCCCTTCCCTAGAAAGCCGAACGTGCATTCTCTCTCAGGTTGAGTATCTGAATGGCTGGTCGGAAGTTTCATTGCTTGATTGCAATAAGATCCCTTTCACTCATTCCAGACAAGAAATCGCTTTGAAGGCACCAGGTCAGAAGTGGAGTCCCTGATGAGGAAGATGAAGGAGAATCCCCTTGAACACAAGACCATCAGCCCGTACACCATGGAAGGGTACCTCTACGTGCAGGAGAAACGTAAGTGCTTGCACTGGACCACTTGGCGTGCGCTCGGCCCCTTGCCCGCAAGGCAGAGGGCACGTCCAGCAGCGCCCAGTCTGGGTCTGAAGGGCGGTCAGTGATCTTGTGGTTCAGTTTCTACAGGGAAAGTGGTGTCCACTGATTCATCTCCCTCAAGTGACGTATTCGGAGTCCACTTGGGAAGTGGGATTCCCTGAGATGCTTCTCTCCCTGGCATCGCTGGGCTCTCGACGATCCTCTGTCCTTTGCGTAGTCTTACATCCCACATCCTGAGCCGCGCAGCCTTGAAGAGGTCCCGCCTGCTGCGCGGCGCTGTCCATCAGGGTCCTCATCTCCAGCAGCATTACCCGGTGCTGATTCTTTTCTTTTCTTTTTTTTTTTTTTTTTTTTGACAGGCAGAGTAGACAGTGAGAGAGAGAGAGAGACAGAGAGAAAGGTCTTCCTTTTGCTGTTGGTTCACCCTCCAATGGCCGCCGAGGCCAGTGCACTGCGGCCGGCGCACTGCGCTGATCCGATGGCAGGAGCCAGGTACTTATCCTGGTCTCCCATGGGGTGCAGGGCCCAAGCACTTGGGCCATCCTCTTCTGCACTCCCTGGCCACAGCAGAGAGCTGGCCTGGAAGAGGGGCAACCGGGACAGAATCCGGCGCCCCGACCAGTACTAGAACCTGGTGTGCCAGCGCCGCTAGGCAGAGGATTAGCCTATTGAGCCGTGGCACCGGCTCGCTGATTCTCTTCTTGACAGCTGTTGCAGCGAGGCCCCAGTGGTTAGGACCTGGGCCCTTACCCTTTTCTCGTCTCCCTTCTTCCCAGTCCCTGACATTTAAGGTAGAAGCAACAGCTTAGAACGAGCCTTTGCCCTCCTGAGAATGAGGTCAGGGGAAGAGATGCCAGGTGCTGCGAATGTGGGGCTTTTAGTGCCTCCACGCATCTGTGCCTCCGGCCTGGAGAGGGCTTTGTGACGGGGCTGTGCTCTTCCAGGGAGCGCTCTCAGATTTATTGTAGGCATGCAATGTAGGAATGAAAGAAAGTAAATTTTTTTTAATGAGTCATTCTTTTTCTAGTCTCCTCCCCTGCTTTCTTAGGAGAGCTCAATGCTATGCTCCTCCCAGATGTGTGGCAGCTTTGCGTTTTTGGATGTCCCCTTGATGTAGAGTTGGGCAGTGTCTTCGTTCATGGAATAGAATAGAAATACATGATTTTACTGATGATTCTGTGTGTTGATTACCCACGGATTTGCTTGGCCTTCAGATTGTTCGCTTGTGACAATGAGGGCAGTAGTGGGGTTGGAGGTGTGAGCTGTGACCAAGGTTTTAAGTCCCTGACCCTTACAGGAAAGAGCTTGTGGATCTTTGGAAGAAATGGAAGCAACTTTAGTCGCAGGTGTCATGTAGGCCTGCACAGAAGGTGACCCCAGTTTTGCCTACTGAAGTCCTACCCAAAGACGGTTTTAGGTCTATTTACATTTTCAAGATTGCAAACATTTAGCTCGGTGCTCATTTATGATGCCTTATGTATTAACAGCATTCACTTACATATAGGAAAGCAATGTTGCTTTTTTGTATTGTCACATTCCGTTCAGCGATTTTCTTCAACCCTTCATGTGTTCTTCCAAGTTGATGTGTTTATCACCATTAGAGCCTCTTTTTGGTTTTCTCCAGGGGGGACAAGTGTTGTGGGAGTGCATTCCCAAAATTTTTGTGTCATTTTTCATAATTTATTTGGAAATAATGTCAAAAATGGTCAAATTATTTTCAAAGAAAATAATTTCAAAGAAAAGTTGGAAAAATTATGTAGGTCACACTATAATATTACTAGATGTAACTAGTTTTTAACATGTCAGCACAGTTACCTTGTTCTTCCTGTATGGGTGCACGTCTGCCCCGCCCCCACCCATGTTCGTGCACACACACACACACACACACACACTCCCTGAACCCTTGGAGAACAGGTTGCATATGCCATGTTCCTTTAGTGTAAATTTTCTAAGAATATGGCTATTCTTTCATGTAACTGCATCCAGGGAATTGATAACTGATACAGTTATTTTTTTTAATTTATTTTATTATTCAAAAGATAGAGAAAGATCTTGCATCTGCTGGTTCACTCCCCAAATGGCTGCAATGGCCAGGGATGGGCCAGGCCAAAACCAGGAACCTGGAGCTTCATCCAGGTCTCCCGTTGGGTGCAGGTGCCCAGGCGCTTGGGTCATCTTCCGCTGTTTTCCCAGGTGCATTAGCAGGGAGCTGGATTGGGAGTAGAGCAGCTGGGTCTCAAAACGGTACCCAGGTGGGATGCCAGTGTTGCAGGTGGCCACTTTCTTTTGCAGCACAACACCGGGCCTACTGATACACTATTTAATCTTAATTCCAATCCGTATTCCTGGTGAGCCCAAGGCAACTTCGGCTGGCTGACAAGGACACAGCCGAAGGTCTGTCTCAGCAAGGTGTGAGAAGTTCAGCTGTGGTCCTCTTGGTGGTTTTAGGTTTCTTGGGAACTACACTCTGCTTAAGAAAGCCGGAGCTTCCTGCAGGTCCCGCTAATGATTGCTGTATTCCTATTTTTAGGGAAGAACGCTTAGTCTCATAATCCCCAAAATGTCCATTGCTTTGTAGAATTTTAATCAAGCAGAATGTTAGTGTAGGAGAAAGGGTTAATGCTTTACGCAAGGTTGAGCTGTTTGTGGAAAAGAATTAAAAGGCAACAGGCTCCCTGGTAAATACTTCCCACTAAAATAAAGATAAATGTTATTAAAGCTTTAATTCAATATGCACTACAAATACAACAATGGTTAGGATATCAAAACTGTGGAATAGATCTAAGTGAAATAAGTACGATAAAAAAGTTAGAGTTACAGAAACAACTGCAAAAGCGGGGATACATTTAAAAAAGGGCCTGCTTTGAACTTGGGGCTTCTAGTAAAGATTAGATTAGGAAGATAATATTCTAGCTTGTATAGCCAATTTCTGCATAGTTCAACAGAACTCCAGGTCTTGGCTTGTGTGAGCAGCCTGTTATCTTGCACCTGTCTGTGATAGTAACCCATGCTCTGATCATGCCCTTGAAAATCATCTCGCACCTGTGATTGTAACCCATGTTTTGAATATGCCCATGAAAATCAAAGAAATTGTAACTAGGTGAAAGTGGACCACAGACTTGTTATTGTAAGTAGAAAGAATCATTATGTGACTTAGAATATAAAAATAAAGTCTGGTGCTAGAGCCAGGGCCATGCCATCAGCCTTGCTGTGAGTGTGTCTCTCATTTCTTCGAGCACCGACCCCTCTCACACCTTGGGAGCCCTGGACTGGCTGGAGCTGGTCTCTGGCATATTCCAGTGTTGCCCATAACACTGCTGTGGAGCACTGTGCTTTCCTGCAGGACAGCATCTCATATGCATATTGACGTTCGTTGCCATGACTTCCGTCTCCTTTACTGTGCATCGGTTCCTTTGCTTTTCGCTGCCTTTGAGGACGTTGATGTGTTGGAAGGACGCAGGCCAGTCCCTTTAAGGAGTCTTCCTCAGCGTGTGCTCATGATTAGATTGAGGTTATGCCTCCCTGGTGCAATCCCACCTAGGCAACACTGTGTGTCTCTGGGATGGTGGTCTGATGCGTGTGCTGTCCATCTGCTCCTCGGTGGTGATGTGAATTTCTCCATGGTACAGTCGCTGTTTTGCCCTTACAACTAAACAGCCATCTGTAGGTTGCTACCCTAAGATCCTCTGACCATGTTTTTCCCCCTTAGATTTAGTGTCCATTGATAGTCTATGCCTGAACTGGTCATTTCTCTGATGGTTGCAAGGAGGAAATTTTCTAGTTCCGTTATTTATTTCTGTTACTATAGAGAAATGCCATCCTTTCTCTTCTTCCTTCCAGTTTCTCTTCCTGTCACCCTGTCCCCCTGTCCATCCATCCATCCATTTTTCCGTCATCAGTAGGGACTTGTGCATTCCTGTTTTATTGACTTATCTATAATCTGCTAATGCCCTTTGTTTAGCTTGATGCTCAGTTTGTCCATGCTTATGCATTTTTGCAGTCTTTGTGTTGTGCTGTCATTAGAATTTTTTCCACCAGCAAGGAGAATACATTCAGATGATTTTTTTTAAAGATTTTATTTTATTTGAGAGGTAGAATTACAGACAGAGAGAGGGAGAGACAGAGAGAAAGGTCTTTCATCCTGTGGTTCACTCCCCAAATGACCACAGTGCCCAGAGCTGGGTCGATCTGAAGCTGGGAGACAGGAGCTTCTTTTGGGTCTCTCATGTGAGTACAGAGACCCAAGCAGTTGAGCCATCTTCCAGTGCTTTCCCAGGCCATAAGCAAAGAGCTGGATTAGAAGATGGGCAGAAGGGACACGAGTGGGCGCCCATGTGGGCTGCCTGCCCCCTATGTCACAGCTCTGGGCTTCGGGTGATTGTTGTTTTTATTTGTCCTTGATGCCCCCATGGAAGCACTTGCTGCATTGCCCACGTTTACTAAGAGACATCCAGCATCTGTGATTGGCAGTTATACCATTAATAATTATTACATCCTTGCTAATGCTCTTCATAATTTTTTTTCAAATTTAACTGTATCTGCTATATGATCGCTGTAAGCTTCCAGAACTAGTATTGGCTGAGGTCCTTTTGGCCTGAAGTGCCTTCTCTTCCTAATGTTCCTTTGTTAAAAGAATTGGCCCCACACTGAGGAAAACCAGAGGTGTGCTAAGAACTTGATTTCATGGCGTTTTCCTCCTTCCCGAGGGATAATTTCGAAGGACAGCCTGCTTAGATTGCACGCGGGCACTCCTAGTCACTTCCTGTCTGCATCTGTGGCGTCTCTGAGGTCTCCTTGGCTGCCTTTCAGATCTTCTTGAGCTCAGTCAAGCAGACATGTGGGCTTGGGAAGTAGGTCAGCGCCCCCGAGGTCTGTGCGCTGAGTGGGGGAGTGTGATGTCATCACACAGATGGGAGCGGTGACGGCAGTTGGAGGAGGCTTCCTCCCTTCATCCCTCAGTCCTCCTCCTGTCAGGGAACAGCACGGAAATAGCACGTGGAGACTGATGAGGGGAATGTGAATTAATTTCCCCAGGGAACCTCTTCCTCCCTTGTATTGTAAGACCGGCTTACAATGGTGCAGGAGTGGGAAACAGTCTCTGGTCCCTGGGGGAAAGCCTTGGGTTGGTTCCCTTTGCAGCCTGTGGGATGGGATTTCCGTCTGTGTGGTTCTAGCTTGGGTGGAGAGTATGTTGCCCCTAAGGCGATCGGAGGGCAGGTGAGTGCTGCTGTGTGATGCTTCAGTTAACAAGGTGCAGCACGCCGCGGGCACGCACAGGTGATTCACGGGGAACGTTTCCTTGCAGGTCACTTTGGAACTTCCTGGGTGAAGCACTACTGTACATATCAGCGGGATTCCAAGCAGATCAGCATGGTGCCGTTTGACCAGAAGTCAGGAGGAAAGGGGGTGAGTTCGTGTTTTAATTTCATGCTTGATTTGCTTGGCTAATCTATGTGAACAGTGATTATAATAGGCTTGTAAAGTCACAATGCCAGTCTTTCACTGTTATTGCCAATTTTTATACAGTAGCTCCAGGAGGCAATGTGCCTTGAAGAATAATGAACATAAGAGAATTATTAGTACTGAGTTATATTAGGAGCTATAGTTGGGAAATTTTCATATATTCCACACAGGTACACTGTCAAGTGTGTGCAGTATTTTCACACGCTACCATGTCATTCTGTGAAACTGGTTCATGCCACTCATACTCCATATCCACAGGACTGCCAGCTGACCGTTCTTTGTAATTTTTTAAATATTTATTTATTTGAAAGACATAGTTACAGAGAGGGAGAAACACAGGAGAGAGAGAGAGAAAGAGAGAGAGAAAGAAAGAAATAAATCTTAAGTCTGCTGGTTCACTTCCCAAATGACTGCAACTGCTGGCCTGGGCCTGGGCCAGGCTGAAGCCAGGAGCCTGGAACTCCATGTGGATCCCCCATGTGGGTGGCGGGCCGTCGTCCACTGCTTTCCCAGGGGCACTAGCAGGGAGCTGAGTGGCAGTGGAGCTGGTGCTCAGAGAGGATGCTAGCGTTGCAGGTGGCTGCTTAACCTGCCACACCACAGTGCAGGCCCCCAGCTGATGCTTCGATTGTTCTTACCTGTTGGCTTCGCAACAAGTTAGTCCCAAACGTAGCAGTGTTTAAAACCTCGCCATTTCCGTATGTCTTGCGGTTTTGGTGGGTCAGGAATTCAGGGGGCTTGCAGTTTCTCGTGAGGTCTCATCATCTGGTGCTAGAGCTGTGATGAAGAGGGTCTGACGCAGTGTGAAGCTGGCCAGATACAGCTCCTCCCCTCTCCTGCTCTCCTTGTCTGCCTCTTCCCGCTGTCCCGGGGTAACCTCAGGGCCTGTCTGTCAGGTCTCTGCATGGCCTCCTTCGGGCTTCCTGACAGCTTCGTGGCTTCAGGGCAGCTGCAGGTTTTCAGGAGTGCATGTTCTAGCAGCTGATGCAGACACTGCATTGCCTTTTAATGACCTGACCTTAGAAGCCATTAGCCTTTGTCAGTTAAAAACAAGGAAGTCATTAGCCTTATTTTTGCCCTGTTGGTTGAAATGAACCCCCAAAGTCCCCTGACCCCCAAGTTTCAATGGGAGTTTCACTTTCCCTTTAGAGATTTTAGTGTTTTTAGTAGAAAATATTTACATTGTGCTCAGAATCATTTCTGTGGTTCTGTCTTTAGCATAAATGATTTGGCAGTGGTGTCTCACTGTGGTCCTCTGTAAGCGTTCCATGCCTGCTCTTCTCTGTGGTGCAGGTCTGTGCACATGTCAGGTTTGCCTGTGCGTGGCGACGGCGTGGAGAAGCAAAGAGCTTCTTGGCTTTGGCATTGCACCCCCGTGCTGTGCTGGGCCCCTGCTCTCTTCCGCTCCCAGTTTTCCTTCCGGCTTTCCTGTCCTTGAGCCGTGGTAGAGGAGGTTGGCAGCATCTGTGTTCCCTCCCCGTATCTGAGCAGTAGCACAGCCCTTGTCATGATTCTTGCCAGAGGAGGGGTTGATTTGCAGAGAATCCCAGGAAAGTGGACATATTAAAATATCGTCACATGGAGAGAATAGAGGTAGTGGGAAACGAGACACTGTGTGAATAGGGACCCCTGCTTTTCATGCAGTGGGAGTGGAGGTGGGGCCTGCATTCTGCAGGTAGAGTTGTTAGTCCTCGAGAAACCAGTGCCCCTGAATCGCTCTCCCCCTCAGTCTTTATTTTGGAGCTTTTTATGTTGTGTTTCCCCAAACCTTTAATGAAGAACTCTTGTAGTTTCGGTACCCCTGTCTTCTCATACTTGAAAGTGCAAGGTGGGGACCGGTTATGGCAGAGGTTTGGAAGCCCAGATAGGAAATGCCCCACTAGGTTGTCCACGGGTGTGTGTATGAGTTCACAGGTGTATCTGAGGCCGTGGAAATGAACTTCTTGGGACGGGGGACACTTAATGAGTGCTACATTAGGACCGCGATACCATGATGGACTGTATTAATTTGTCACATTTATTTTACCCTTTAAACTTTCCAGTATCCTTATTGTCCTCTATCACAGTGTTGGATCCAGTCTTCCTTCTTCCAGAAAGGCAGGTGTTGTGCAACAGGGGTGAGCTCCCACTTAGAACGCCGGCCTCCCACACTGGGGCACCGATTCAAGGCCCTGCTGTTCTGCTTCTTATCCAGCCCCCTGCTGACGTGCCTGGGAGAGCAGCAGAAGGTGGCCCAAGTCCGTGGGCCCCTGTTGCTCAGCTGTATGACCTGATGGAGTTCTTGGCTCCTGGCCCAGACCCAGCTTTTGCAGCCATCTGCGGAATGGACCAGAGAATTGAAGATCTCTCTCTGTCTCTCCCTCTCTCTCTCTCTAACTCTGATTTCCAAATAAATAATCTTTAAAAAATAAAGAAGCAGAGAGGAAATGGAGGTTCTGAGAAAGTGATTTATGAGGTCGTACAGCCAGTGGGGTACAGAGCCAGGACTCAAACCCCGATCCTTGTTCTCAGTCTCCTGATCTAAAGCTACTGTCGTTGCCATGATGTCGCTCTCTCTGCTCCACCTTTGGGAGGAGGAGTGTGACGTCATGGCGATCTGTAGGGAGGGCTTTGGGCTGTCTTTGCACTCCTGTTTGTACAGAGCTGTCCTGGGTGCTGGAGGTGGGCTTCCCCGGGACAGGAGGATGTTTTCTGATCCTAACGTCCTTTTCTCCATCCTTTCTGCCCCTCACTGTCTTGAATTTGGACTTTTTTCCTTTAAATCATGGGTGGGGAACCTTTTCCTGCCAAGGGCCTTTTGGATATTTATAATATCACAGTTATCAGCTTAAACTTTGCTGGCTGTATATTTACTGAGTTTCAGAGTCTGGCCAGTGTTTGCTTTGACAGGACCAGACCAAAGGATTTTGTGGACCTTGAATGGCCCCCGGCTGGACCTTCCCTACCCGGGCTTTAGGAGCTCCTCCTCTTCTAGCTCTGGGCCTGGAGCTGTGAGCAGGTCTGCTCCACCCTCTGGGAGACCTGGCCCCTGTGGTGAAGGAATTTCCCCGTTTCCTGCCCTCTGAGATGCGGCTCCTCTCGGAAGACCCGGAGCGGCCTGAAGCTGATTGTGTGCCTTCCCTGGCTTGGGACCCCTGGTTGTTTTCTGGCTGCGTGGTCTGGCCCCTGCCCTCCTTCAGACTCTTGCTTGTGTCGCTTTCTGGTTCCCTCTGGGCCTCCCACTGTCTCAGTTTCCATCCTGTTCCTGCAGGACTCCTAGACCCTGACCACAGGGCCTTGCAGCTGCTGTTCTCCAGCCCATCCTTGTCTTCTTATTTCATCTCCTAATCTCAGCTCAGAAAGCCTCTCCTAACCTTCCTGACTGTGGGGAGCAACCCGGACTAGACTGTTACTGGAATTAAGACTTATTCTATGCATCTGCTCTCCCACAATATGGCGCTGGGAGAGAAGAAAACAGCTTCTACACAGGTGCCTCCAGTTCAACCAATAAACTGTAGGACTTGCTCCTGATTGGAGGAGGGCAGCGTACTCGGCGTGTGGGCAGCAGAGTTGGGATTGGCGGAGGAGGACTATAAAGGAGGAGAGAGACGGCATGCACCGGGAACATCTAAGGGGAACATCTAAGGGGAACACCTGTGCAGCCCCCGAGAGAGCCGGCCGGCGGTGTGCCGCTCCCCTGCAGAAGTGGGGAATGTGGCAGGGGGAACCACCCTTCCACGGAGGTGGAAGGGACAGTAGCCAACCCGGGAAGAACCAGCAGCAAACCCGGGGAGGGCCGAGCAGACGAAAGAACAGCGCAGGGTCCTGTGTCGTTCCTCCACGAAGAGGGGGAGCGACACCTGACCACATCAGATCCTCTTAACGCAGCTCTTGTAGCGCATCCTGCCTCTCTCTCTCCCTTTTCTTTGTAGTGTCATCATAGTGATTTTTTGTGTATGTAAGCGATGGTTATCTGTACCGAGCACTTCTCCAGGTTGCCAGTAGTTGCGCAGCTGGGTCCCCTTTGCAGGCTTTCTCACGGGGTGTGGTCGGCTGCGTCTTTTCTGTGCTGAGCCTTGATGAGTCCAGCAGATCCTGGCGGAAGCTGGTCCACGCTGTGACACCTGAAGCTAGTTAGTTGTCAGCAGGGCCACAGTTCCCCGTGTGTGACTGTTTCTCACAACAGTTTAAAGACCTTCGCTGGTTGATCTGCAGTTCTAGAATGGAGCAACGTTTGATTCTGTAGAACACAGTAAGTGGCCCTCTGAGCCAAGCGGAGGAGGCGGATTTGACAGGCAGAGAAAGGCTGAAGAAAGCAGAAACAGGAATGAAGTCATCTCAAAGCCACTTTCCTTGTAAGGTGGGACAGGGAGACAGAAAACAGAAGAAAAAAAAAAAAAAAAAAACTGGTTTACATAAGGTTGACTTCAGGCTACCTTTTTAAATATAAAGATTAAGGCAGAAGGAACTTTATTATTGTGTGTTAGCAACAGAGGCTAGCATCTGTGAAAAATTCTGCCATTACCTCTCATTTCTCCCAGGTTCTTGGAAGATCCAGTAAAGAGCTTAGTTTCAGTTTAGTAGCCTGGAGCCTGGGTGACTCCACGCTGATCTCTGTGGTCCACGGGAGCCTGGTCCTAAACAATGGGCCGTTGGAACTTTTATCTAACACCCTGCGGTGCTTCACAAACTGGAGAAGGAACAAGTCTCAATCTAAGAAATTCATCTTTGCTATTTAATAAAAGACAATAGATGTAAGGCTTGGGAACATAAACTGTCTCTTCCTAGGTTCCGTGTTTTGGTGATATTCTGATATTAATAGGTGGTTACATGTACCTTATGTAGTCACATTTCCTCTTGTAACTCACAAGGGAAGCTTCCTAATTTTGCCCCTGCTTTAGAAAAAAGATCAGTAGAGGCAAGGAGAAACGGGAACCCTCACAAACTCGGAAGTGGCAGGGAAGAAATTCGAGAGAATAGCTTCTGTGTTTCCCGGCAGTGTTAGGCGGTGAAGGTGGCGTGTTTGACTTCAACATGGAATTCTACTCAGCAGCAAATTCCTTACAGACACAACACTGCGAGACAGTTATGCTGAGGGAGAGAAACCAGACCCACTGTGTGCACACTCTGGGACTCCATTTATATCAAAGATGGAGGTGCAAACTAACAGCTGGGTCACTGGTCGCCTGGGGGTGGCCCGGGAGGAATGGCGCATTACCTAGGGCCCAGAGGGGAAAGAGATGTTCGTTGGCTTGCTTGTAGTGATGGCTTTACTGGTAAGTACAGCTGGCAGACTTTATAAAGTGTAGACTTTAGACAGGTGCAGTCTATTGTACATTATTAAATGTCAGTAAAACGGTTAAGACTGATTTATTGAGCACCTACTGTGTTCTGGGATCCGTGAGCTTAGGTGACACAAGAGTAATAAGCAAAAACAGACCCAGTCTCTGCTTTCAGGGAACTCGGGCTTAACCAGGAGAGAGGAGTTACTGCAATCATCACCTGTGTGAACAGGTGGTTTCAACTGTGGTCACTGCAGTGCGGGAGGGAGGGGTCCATGGTTCTGATATATGGCCTGGTCTCCCACAACTTCCTGAGATGTGATGACCAGCCCAGTGTCATAGAAGCTCAGGGTTCAGGAGAGACCACTGTCTTGGTCTCAGGCCCGTCTAGTTGATCTGCCGTGGGTTGATGTTGAGCTGTTCTGGTGCACAGGTACTACAGATGTTTGACTCCCAGGACAACGAGGTGTGCAGACTGTCGCTGCGCGAGTCCCTGCCGGAGGCCACATGCAGTCTTCTGCTTTGTGTGGTTGAGAACCCTCCGGTTTGGGACACAGCGACTGCTGCTGTTTGTCTGCCTTGCTCTTCCTGCAGAGGGGCAGGGCCCGTGTTCTGGCCTCCTCTTGATGGTTTGTCTGTACCACCAGGGAGAAGATGAAACAATCACCCTGAAGTCCTGCACGCGGCGCAAAACAGATTCCATCGAGAAGAGGTTTTGCTTTGACGTGGAAGCTGTAGACCGGTGAGTCGCCGGGGCGGTTTTCTCAGAAACAGATGCTGCTGAATGGGGATTTCTTGCCGTGTGCTGTCAGCCCCCTCTGTCCTTCCCTCCCCCCGTCCTTCCCGTTTCCACTTCTTCTCCATCTTGCACACTCATTCCGCTTGGAGTAGGCCTCAGGTCCTCGTGGATATGCAAGGGTCAGTACACTTGCTTGTCTTTGAGGCTTGGCACTAACCCCTGGCTTGGTTTGGTTTGACTTCCCTGTTAGCACTTTGCAGCTCAGGAATATGAATTATGTCTCAAGGTGTTTAAAGAGAACATTTTATCGCAATTGTTTCAGCCCCTTGTGATTTCTTTTTCTACCTAAAAATTAACACAGTGTTTGATTGGATGGAAGAAGCTTCACTCATAAAAATAAAACACCAGTTTTTAGTTACAGTGTTTCGGGGGGGCCGGCACTGTGGTATAGGGGGTAATGCCTCTGCCTGTAGTGCTGGCATCTCATATGGATGCCGGGTTCTAGTCCTGGTTGCTGCTCTTCCAGTCCAGCTCTCTGCTGTGGCCCGGGAGGGCAGTGGAGGATGGCCCAAATCCTTGGTCCCCTGCACCTGCATGGAAGACTGGGAAGAAGCACCTGGCTTCTGGCTTTGGATTGGTACAGTTCTGGCCGTTGCCGTTGTGGCCATTTGGGGAGTGAACCAATGGAAGAAAGGCCTTTCTGTCTGTCTGTAACTCTACCTCTCAAATAAATGAAATAAATCTTAGTTACAGTGTTTCCCTCCCTCTGTGTGCAGAGGCACACAGGAAAGACACCAGTTAGTCTCGGGGGGGGGGGGGGGAGGAGAGAGAGAGAGGAGAGATGAGAGGAAGAGAAGAGGAGAGGGCTGTGTTGTACGCCTCAGGATTTGCAGAGTCTCTCGTGAAGTTGCACCATTTCATGGTGCTAAGCTTGTTTGACAGCCTTCCAGTTCTGGAGACACTTCACTTGGCAACAGGTTGATTCCTTCAGTGAAACCTGCGTGTTCAGCTTATTGGAGCTGCCTGTTGACGATCCGCAGTGCTAGCACCCAGATCCTAAATCCCAGCGTGATGCTCCCATCCTGCCTTTTAATCTCTTCCCTTTCATTTAAAAACAACAAACGAAAAGCCAGTGCTTTCAGCTTCCCTGGGATGCTTCCTGCGCTCAGGCAGGCTTCAGGCCTGCTGTGCCTTCCTGCGACAGGTGTCTCCTCTCCGCTGTGGCTGCTGGAGGCCGGTGGAGCTCCCGTGGGGCCAGCGGGGCCTTGAGGAGACTAACCTCACTTGGTAAGCAGCTGAGCCCTTACACCTCCTGCTCCTGAGCCAGGGGACCTGCATCTCGATGTTGACTTGGCCGCTTTGTCACCATGTGACTTGGAGCAAGTGTCTTCATCTCCCAGGGCCTTGATCTCTTCATCTGGAAAACAAAGATGTCATAGCACCTAGTCCCAAGGATTCGTGCAGGGAAAAGGCGGTAATGTGGAGTGGCTGATACTAGGTACTTGGCTGTCAGTGTTTGTTGCTGATTAGCTTGTCCTGCATCAAAGTTGGCATTTCATTTCTCTTCTATATGCAGATAAGTCAGTGTGAGGTTTTTACATTGTTCTTGATTTGAGACGCAGTGGCAGACAGAGAGCTTTCATTGTCTGGTTCAGTCCTCAGAGGCCCTCAGTAGCTCTTTCCTGGGGCCAAAGCTGACAGCCAAGAACTCAGTCCAGGCCTCCCACATGCATGACAGGAGCCCAATCCCATGTGTCGTCACCGTGGCCTCCCAGGCTCTGTATCGGCAGGAAGCTGGAGCGGGTTCTATGATGTGGGCATCCTGGGCATGCTCACTTGGCTCTTAACTGCTAGGCTAAACATCTACCACAGAGAATACGTAGTTTGAGAATAATTAGTTTGTTAAAAAGGAACAAAGTGTCCCAGCCGCTCAGTGTGCAGGGCAAGGGGGGAAGGGGCGGTAAAGCTCGAGGGCTGGGCCGGGCAGCAGCCGGAGTCGCAGAAGCCTTCCTCAGATCGAAAGGGGTCCGCCTGCTCATTACCCCTCCGTCTGGGTGCTCGGAGCACTTGCAGGCGCCCGTCTTCTCCAGTGCGAGCGTGGAATGGGAGGGAGTTCGGTTACCGGCGTCCCTGAAGGATGTGTGGAAGCAGGGGGGATTTGGGTCCAGCCCTGTGTGCATTGCTGGAGACGCTGGTCTGTTTGCCCGGCCGTGTGGCAGGGGGCGTCCCTCACACCACAGGCCCCGTCACCCTGGAGAGCAGCTCAAAGACACCTGGTTGCGCTGCTTTGCTCACTGTGTTTCTTCCTCAGAGGTTTCTGAGAAGTGGCAGCGAGTGGACTTTGGGGCCATCAGAAGTCCCCGTGGAGCAGTCTCATCTCCACCCCTGCCAGCTCCCCTCGCACCCTCCCCCCCTTTAGTATGCCGAGACAAATGTGGCACATGCACGTGCCTGGTGCGCTTGGAAGCTGGTTTCTCCTCTATCTCTGTCTCTGCTTCCTTGGCCTGACGTGGAGGGTTCTAGTCACGGTTCAGGCCCAGGCCATTGGGGCGGGCGTCTGGCTTGGGTGCCTGCCTCCCGTGTGGAAGGGCCGGGGTTCGGGTGCTTTGCTGCTCTGCTCCGGCTTCCTGCCACCCGCTTGGGAGACCTGCATGGAGTTCTGGACTCCTGGTTTGGGCCTGGCCCAGTGCTAGCTGTTGCAGGCATTTAGGGAGTGAACCAGGGGGTGGAGGATCAGCCCCCTCACCCACCCACCCACACCGTGCCTCACCAAAAGAGAACAGAACCAGGTTCCTTGGTGTCCTCTTGAGCAGGAGGTGAGAAGAGCCCCATGGAATTGCTTCTTCCTGTTTTCCCTGTAGGTCTCAAAGGTGAGGTTCTGGCCTGGCAGGCTTTTTCGCCTCTTTTGCTTTTCTGGCATCAGTGTCCTGCATTTTCCTCACAAGCCTGGGGGAGAGTAGGAAGAGAGGGCAAAGGCTGTCCTGGGAGCCGTGCCTGAGGCCTGTCCTCCTGGGGCCTCCACTTGTCTTGTTTCCAGTGCCTTCAGCAGGGCTGCGTGGATTTCAAGTCGTCTGCACTACAATAGGTTATTTTTAATTCAGCTTTTCCAGAAGCATTTTGAAATCCCTTGTACGTATCAGCGTGTGGTTTATGTGGCTTATTTCAGCAGATCAGTATTGTGAGCTGATGACAACCGTGTCTTATTGTTGGGTGAGAGGCAGCTGCTCCGGGCGTCCCCTGGGGGGCCTTGTTAGAACCATGGGTTCCTGATCCCTACCCCAGAACTGCGCAGTCTGACTCTCTGAGCCTGACAACACTCTGCAGTCCACATTTTTAAGCTCTTTAGTTGTCCATTCTTCTTTTTTATTATTTTTTAAAAAAGACTTATGTGTTTTTATTTGAAAGGTAGAGTGACACAGAGAGAGAAGAAGAGGGACAGAGAGAAAGAGGAGGGAGAAAGAGATTGGGGGAAAGAGAAAGAGAGAGAGAAAGCTGTTTTCCATATGCTGGTTCATTCCCCAGATGCCTTCGCAACCAGGCTGGGCCAGGCAGAAGCCAGGAGCCTGGAACTCTATCTAGGTCTGCTTTGTGGGTGACCCAAGGACTTGGGGTTTCAAATGCTGCCTTCCTGAGCACATTAACAGGAAGCTGGATCAGAAGCTGAGGAGCCCGAACCGGAACCAGCACTCTGATATGGACATGGACACCCCAGGTGCTGGTTGAAGCCCTGCACGACAGCGCCCGACCCAGCTGTCCTGCGTTCTTGCTAACGGGTACTTTAAGCAGCACAGTTTGATCGGAGCTCATGAAAACATTTGTCTTCTGAGACACACTGCGAGGCAGCTACAGCAGAACAAAGATGCAAACGAGCGGACTCCTTGTGCACCTCCCTTCCCGTGATGCTCTCCGCAGCCTGGGGGGCAGGTGCCCCCATGCCCCATGCCACTGAGGAGGCGAGGAGACTTAGCAGAGGGGGGGTCAGAGCCGAGGGGGCCAGTCTTAGAAACCCTTCCCTGTGCTGAGCCCTGTGCCGTCGTGGCTGCCTTGCAGAGACACAATGGAACGTTCAACCTGTAGTCTGTGAAAGCTGAGAAATGCCATTTGCACTCTCATGCTTTGCGTTAGGCATCAAAACGCAACGGCGCAGTAAACTAGGGCACTCACTAGGTTCTGTCCTCTGTCTACAACTCGGTGACCCCAGAAACCCTTGCATGGCTGAATTGAAAGAGCTGGCGAAGGGGCTGGAGTTGTGGAGTAGCTGGTAAAGCCGCAGCCTGTGATGCCAGCATCCCATATGGTCGTTGGTTCTTGTCCTGGCTGCTCCACTTCTAATCCAGCTCCCTGCAAATGGCCTGGGAAAGCATTGGAAGATGACACAAGTCCTTGGGCCCACGCACCCACATGGGAGTCTTGGAGGAAGTCTCTCTCTCTTTCTCTGTATGTGTCTTTCCCTATCTCTGACTTTAAATAAATAAATAAATAAATATGTGAATATATATATTTTTTAAGAGCAGATGAAGACGAGAGCAGAGTGCCCAGCACGTGGCACTTGGCTTGTGTTCCACGAATTCTGTTTGGTTTCTCATCATCTCTTCTTCCACCTTCCACACTTCCTTCCACACTCCTCTTTTATTCTCTTCTTTCTGTATTCTAACTCAGGGAGACTAGCACGGGTAGGAGAAATCAGAGCAGTGGTGCCACTCAGCAGTTGATTGTTTTCATTACATCTGAGTGCACTGCTCTCCGTTTGTTCATCCTCAGATCCTGATAAAAATGGGCGAATTCCTGATGCTTAGGTCCTAAAGGAAGAACCGCTGTGGCTCTTTCGCCTGTGAGTGAACAGGGAATCCAATGAAGCGTTGCTTCAAGGGCTTCAGGGTTTAGATCTATGGTCCTGGAACTTCATGCATCAGAGATCCTTCCTTCTTAATACGGACCACGATCTCAGAAATCTTTTAATTCATATTTCCAAGTCCTTTGCTATCTCAGAACTTTGCTCTGTG